TACCCTTCACAAAACCAGTATGATATTCCTAATTCCCAAGTCACTGAAGAAGAAAATGATAAAATTACCACTGTTAAAAATGAACCAGTAGATGATTCCTCTGAGCTAAGTGCATATTATTTTGAAAACCAGAATGATCTTCTGCATTCACAAGTTGCTGAAGAGAATGAGAACCTCCTTAATGTAAACAGTGGACTAGAGAATTCTAGCCTGCCTCCAGAACTCTTGTGTGTAAAGAAGGAGGTGGAGAAGAATTTACAATCAGGAAAAATGTCTGGCCCGGATACTGGACAGTTTTGGCTCTACAACTGTAAAACATGTGGAAAGAAATTTAAACATGCTGGAACATTAATGGTGAGTTTTAAAGTCTCTTAAGGTTCCTTGACCCTCAGGTAAGGGAGGTAAATCTCACTGGGATTAATGAATATTATTATTTTAAAAATTGTCAAGTTACACAGTAATTTCTTTGTAATTTTCCACTGCAAAATATACTGAAATTGTTCAATTTTTACATTGTTTCAAATATAAATTAAATTTCTTCTGAAAAATTATTATTTGTATGAGCTAAATTTCATATGTCTGTCCATCCATTAGAAAATTTGGACATTTATTTTATACAAATCATTCTTTCTATTCTTATGTTGCAAATTTTCATGGGGTCGAATTTTCCTGGTTGTGGAAAAAATTTAGGTTCAAGGAGATTTGATTTCATGGTTCAGAAGTGTTGTATTGTCTTAATTTGAATTTTTTTACATTTCATGGTGGACATGATTTTATGGGTGTCTATTCATACCATGAAAACAACAAAACTTTAACCTTCATGAAAAAAGGGATTTCACAGTATCTTATGTATGATTTATATCAAATTACAGCAGTGTTGATGTATCTCAGAATATGACATTTTGATTAAAAAGTTGTTAATGAAGACATAATTTCAAAACATCATCTGCATACTCATATCAGGTTAAAGTCATAACTTATATTTCCACAGTTTTTTAGGGTGTCAGAGTGATAAGCATTCTGACCTATGATTACTATATGTTGGTTGTTTATAAGTAATCATAGGGAGATTAAGTATTCATGGGGAGATTAAGTATTCATAGGGAGATTAAGTATTCATAGGGAGATTGTGCCATTGTCAAGGCTGCTGCTTCATCAGCTTTATCCGAAATTACTGCCACATAAGAGTTTTCACCCTTGGCTAAAGCTCTCATAAGAAAAATCATTAAGGAATAGTGAAATATAGTTGGGTCTTATTTGAACTTTGCTAATTAACTTTTTGAAAATTCCAAATTTATGGGTCATATTTGAACTTTGCTAATTGATATTTGAAGATTCCAAACTCATGCATCCATGGACTTCTTACAGCATGGCTTTACATTGGAGAATCAATTCTGTTGAAATCATGGCCCTCTGGGGCTACAGTAGAGGGTTCAAGGTTCTGCAGGAAAATATGTTCATACAGTAAAACTTGTCTAATCCGGACACCACTGGTTCTATTGAAATTGGCCAGATGAGACATTATTTCAGATTAGACATTTTAAACTATAGAATTTACTGAAAGGGTCTTAAAGGTAACATAGAATTAGACAAGATTTTGGAATAGACAACATTTATATAAGAAAAGTTTCACACGTATATGATGATACTGCCTCCAAAACATAGAGAACAGTTTGGTCCATAGACATTTCAAGAGCACAACTTGCTTACTTTAAGGTACACTCCATTGTTAGAAACTCACGGCTGATTATGCTTAGTTCCTCTCTCCATCATGATGGAGAGATGCACGAAGTGCAATCAGCCTGGGTTTTCGATGATGGGTACACTCATGTATGGACTGAAATCTTTTTCCTCAGGTACATGAGCGAGCTCATAACCTTGAAAAGAAGGAGCATCAGTGTTTTATCTGTGGAAGAATCTGCACCGCAGCCAGTTACCTTAAAGTTCACCTCAGGACCCATAAAGAGGAGCCAACAGACTTAAGACAAAGAAAGATTGAGTAAGTAGTATAGGACACATAAAGAGGAGCCAACAGACTGAGGACAGAGAAAGATTGAGTAAATAGTATAGGACACATAAAGATGAGCCAACAGACCTAGGACAGAGAAAGATTGAGTAAATAGTATAGGACACATAAAGATGAGCCAACAGACCTAGGACAGAGAAAGATTGAGTAAGTAGTATACTACACATAAAGAGGAGCCAACAGACTGAGGACAGAGAAAGATTGAGTAAGTAGTGCAGGACACATAAAGAGGAGCCAACAGACAGAGGACAGAGAAAGATTGAGTAAGTAGTGCAGGACACATAAAGAGGAGCCAACAGACCTAGGACAGAGAAAGATTGAGTTAGAAGTATAGGACACATAAAGATGAGCCAATAGACTGAGGACAGAGAAAGATTGAGTAAGTAGTGCAGGACACATAAAGAGGAGCCAACAGACTGAGGACAAAGAAAGATTGAGTAAGTAGTGCAGGACACATAAAGAGGAGCCAACAGACCTAGGACAGAGAAAGATTGAGTTAGTAGTATAGGACACATAAAGATGAGCCAATAGACTGAGGACAGAGAAAGATTGAGTTAGTAGTGCAGGACACATAAAGAGGAGCCAACAGACTGAGGACAGAGAAAGATTGAGTAAATAGTATAGGACACATAAAGAGGAGCCAACAGACTGAGGACAGAGAAAGATTGAGTAAGTAGAAAAGGACACATAAAGATGAGCCAACAGACCTAGGACAGAGAAAGATTGAGTAAGTAGTAAAGGACACATAAAGAGGAGCCAACAGACTGAGGACAGAGAAAGATTGAGTAAATAGTATAGGACACATAAAGAGGAGCCAACAGACCTAGGACAGAGAAAGATTGAGTAAGTAGTATAGGAAACATAAAGATGAGCCAATAGACTGAGGACAGAGAAAGATTGAGTTAGTAGTATAGGACACATAAAGATGAGCCAATAGACTGAGGACAGAGAAAGATTGAGTAAGTAGTGCAGGACACATAAAGAGGAGCCAACAGACAGAGGACAGAGAAAGATTGAGTAAGTAGTGCAGGACACATAAAGAGGAGCCAACAGACCTAGGACAGAGAAAGATTGAGTTAGAAGTATAGGACACATAAAGATGAGCCAATAGACTGAGGACAGAGAAAGATTGAGTAAGTAGTGCAGGACACATAAAGAGGAGCCAACAGACTGAGGACAAAGAAAGATTGAGTAAGTAGTGCAGGACACATAAAGAGGAGCCAACAGACCTAGGACAGAGAAAGATTGAGTTAGTAGTATAGGACACATAAAGATGAGCCAATAGACTGAGGACAGAGAAAGATTGAGTAAGTAGTGCAGGACACATAAAGAGGAGCCAACAGACTGAGGACAGAGAAAGATTGAGTAAATAGTATAGGACACATAAAGAGGAGCCAACAGACTGAGGACAGAGAAAGATTGAGTAAGTAGAAAAGGACACATAAAGATGAGCCAACAGACCTAGGACAGAGAAAGATTGAGTAAGTAGTAAAGGACACATAAAGAGGAGCCAACAGACTGAGGACAGAGAAAGATTGAGTAAATAGTATAGGACACATAAAGAGGAGCCAACAGACCTAGGACAGAGAAAGATTGAGTAAGTAGTATAGGAAACATAAAGATGAGCCAATAGACTGAGGACAGAGAAAGATTGAGTTAGTAGTATAGGACACATAAAGATGAGCCAATAGACTGAGGACAGAGAAAGATTGAGTAAGTAGTGCAGGACACATAAAGAGGAGCCAACAGACTGAGGACAAAGAAAGATTGAGTAAGTAGTATAGGACACCTAGGACAGAGAAAGATTGAGTTAGTAGTATAGGACACATAAAGAGGAGCCAACAGACCTAGGACCGAGAAAGATTGAGTAAGTAGAATATGAACTAAAACCACCAAAATCAGGACAAGGGAAAGAGAACTATTGCAGAAGTAGAATTCACACTGATACAACACACTGCTACAACATACAACACACTGCTGCAACATACAACATATTGTTACCACATACATCACACTATTACTTTATACAACACACTTTTACCACATACATCACACTATTACCACATACAACACACTGTTACCACATACAACACACTGTTACCACATATGCCACACTGTTACCACATACATCACTGCTACAACAAACAACACACTGCTGTAACATACATCACACTATTACCATATACAACACACTGTAACCACATACATCACACTGTTACCACATACATCACACTGTTACCACAAACATCACTGCTACAACATACAAGACACTGTTACCACATACAACACACTGTTACCACATACAACACACTGTTACCACAAACATCCCACTGTTACCACATACATCACACTGTAACCACATACATCACAATGTTACCACATACATCACTGCTACAACATACAACACACTGCTGCAACATACAACATATTGTTACTACATACAACACACTGTTACCACATACAACACACTGTTACCACATACATCACACTATTACTTTATACAACACAGTTACCACATACATCACACTATTACCACATACATCACACATATGTATAACACTGTTACCAGATGTCTCACACTACAGTTGAACTTCGGTATCTCAAACACTGATATCTCATATACCTGGATATGTCAAAGTGATTTGGAAGTCCCAAACCCTTATTCTTTAAGTATTTTACCCTTGATATCTCAAATCCTTGGATAACTTGAAGTTTTTTCTTGGTCCCATTGAGTTCAAGATAAAGAGGTTTGACTGTATTACTAATTATGTCACACTGTCGCATACATAGCTTACATCACCTTATCACCACATACCAAAAAAAACCTCTATGTTCAGAATTCTTAACATATATTATCAAACTGTTTGCTTTGGTTGAATCAAACTTTTGACTTAATTTAAAATGTTTAAAGTAAAACACATACAATTGGGATGGTTGGTTGAGATTCAGATTTCTTGTTTAATTCCAGATGTTTTAAATGCGATGAGAGATTCCTTCACGAAGAGAATTTTCAGACTCATATGAGAATGCACTTTCAGAAGGGGCTGACCTACTGCCTCAAGTGTGGGAAAGGCTTCTATCGCAAAGCCCAGCTAGACAGACATATGGAGTCTCACGCAGGTAATAATATATACAATGTGTGGATAGATTGAATTTAGTATAAGAATCAATAGGAACTCTCAAATGTGTTTACTCTTTATCACTATGAATAACTATACCCCTGCTCAGAAGGAGAGGGGGATACAGTTGAACTTTGTTATCTCGAAGTTGACGGGACCGTTGATGAACTTCGAGATGTCCAGGGGTTTGACATATCGAGGGTTATAATTCAAATGAACTTCAAATAAACTTAGTGCAGTGAACATGTACTTAATAGTAAAAAACATGTCAAATTCCTTCTTGTTTGAAATTCTGTATACAATTTCTTAAATAAACATGTACATGTATTTAGCAATAAAAAGATTTTTACATCCTCTTTATAATTCACAAAATAAAAAAACTTTGTATAATATGCACAGAAGTATAATCTTTCTTCCAACGCGGCATGTCAACCACTAGTATCGTTTCCCATGTATACATAACCGGATATCGTCTATGCATTGTAAATTTAAAACCAGTCGCTGTCAGAATAACGAAAACGAAATATACATTTTCTCTTATAAGAAAAACATGTTCATACATGTATAACCAGTGAAAAGAAAATTATTTAACCATAATGAAATCAAATGCAAAAGAAAAATCATGCACTTTTGTCTAACAACAGAACAACACTGAATCACAGCTAGGGCACTATAGCACAAGGTTTCACTGCGACACACGCTAACATGATGGTGTGTACGGAAGATTGTACATTCAGCACGCTCATATAGGAAAAATAAATTCTAATTGCATTAAATTACAGAATTTTGTTTTACTTCGATGTTAATGATTTTCACTTTCATATGCATAAACTATGTATGCGCGCATATTTCATAGCATTAAATATTTATCAAGATAAACGTACCCAAGCCACAAAACAACGTGTCATCCACACATATGCATAAGACAAATACACACAACCTTGGCTTGCATAATTAAAATCAAGGTAAGCCATACATACACTTTGTATAATTATCGCGCTATTATCTGTTGATCACAGGAACACAGGTAACCCGTGCGTGACAGACAGATGGGTGTTATCAATAGAGCATTCAGTTTACCTAACGAACTTGATCATCAGAGCGGAAAATTATCCTGACTTCGAGATAACGCATGTGATTTTAATGAATGGGTACACAATTTTACTTCGAGATAACAGGGGTATTCGACATTACCGTGTTCGACATAAAGGGGTTTATTTTAATCATTTATAAAGCAAATTTCGTCGGGACCGCAGCCTTACTTCGACATATCCGGGGTATTCGAGATATCCGTGTTCAAGATTTCGAAGTTTAGCTGTATTATTAGTTATCCAGGTTCAATCAAGGGTGTATGGGAATTTGACCAAGGTTTTATTCCATACACCCTGAGACCAAAGGCTGAAGGGTGTATGGAATACAACCTGGGGTATATCCCCATATTACACTCATGATTGGACCTGGATAACAAATTTATTTCCTATGTAACCAAATAAAAGTCAAATCTACTGTGTTTCAGCTCTCAATAAGATTTATCACGTGCTATAATGCATCATGACCTCATGTTATTTGCTTTTTGCGATAGAGAAACTATGTATTGTGACGTCATGTTATTTACCCCCGCCTCAAGTCGGGTGTACGGAAATTTACACCCGCTTTGCTAACCAATCAAATCTCGTGTTACAAGCTAGATAGGAAATAAACTGTTTTACCTTTGTGTGTCTGTCTCTCTGTGTATCTGTCTAGCTGTCCGTAAAAAAAAATTTTGTTGCAGTTTTCTGAGCAGCTACTCTTTGCAGAGGCTTGAAATATTTAGCGCACTCTTTGTTTTGGCATGCCATATGGTGGCATTCATTTTTGTACAAATTGTGTCAACTTCCTGTGATCCTTTCATCTGTCCATACCTATTATTTCAAACAAGATGTTTTGATTCTTATGTTTTGTTACTTTGGACATTGACTTTCTGGATAAACTTAAATGGTTATAAAAAAAAAGATAAACCTTAAATAAAAAAAATTATAGTAAGTACAATATTTCACCTTTATACTGAACTTGTGTATCTTTACATGGGAGTATATTCACATCAGAGTGAGGGGTATTACTAGTGAGCATTGGCTCATAGACTTCTTGTTTTGCTCAGTTTCTTAAAGGAATCTTAATATCTACAGTAAAAACTGTCTCATCTGATACCTGTACAATCTGTATCACTCTGTATTTCAACCCTTTTCTAAATTCCCATTTCATTGTTTTCCATGTTCTTTACACTGAGCTATCTGAGGCTCTGTCTATCTGGAAACAACAGTTGTCTCCCCGTGCATTTTGGTTACACTATAATATTCTTTGGATTGACAGAGAAGGTTTATACTAAATAGTATTCCTTTTAGAAAGTGTTTCCATGACAAGTATTTTTTTTATTGACAAGTTGTGGTTACACTATAATATTCTTTGGATTGACAGAGAAGGTTTATACTAAATAGTATTCCTTTTAGAAAGTGTTTCCATGACAAGTATTTTTTTATTGACAAGTTGTGGTAGAGAATTTCAGTATTCTTTTCATTGACAGAGAAGGTGTTTCCCTCTAAATATTCAGCCAATGAATAACTGGTATTTTTTTGATTGACAGAGGAGTTGTTTTCCTGTAAATATTCAGCCAATGAATAACTGGTATTTTTTTGATTGACAGAGGAGTTGTTTTCCTGTGAATATTCAGCCAATAAATAACTAATATTATTTTGATTGACAGGGAAGTTCCCTTGTAAGCAGTGTGGTAGAGAATTCTCCAGTCAGGCAGGAAGGACAATTCATCTCAACAGTCACAAGGAGAAACAAACCAATTCTACAGGTGTTATCAAATCCGTTTACACTTTGTCTCCATGAATAATTTATCATCCAACAGGTGTTATCAAATCTGTATACACTTTGTCTCCATGAATAATTTTGATAAGTTTCTAAAAGAAATCATTACAATATTCTTTGATTGAAAAAAGTGAAGATAATGAACAGTGATTAATCTGAAAATGCAAATCTGTGAACAGGGCATAAACACGGACCCCCAGACACTCTAGAGGTAAGATCAGGTGCCTCGGAGTAAGTATCCCCTGTTGACCGGTCACACCCTATGTATTGATCAAGGATACATTCCATAATTAAATTTAGTATAAAAACAAAGACTTAACAATTGGTAAGAAACAAGTCAACCAAAAGACCACTCAATGATAGTTTGTATATAAGGTCGTTATAACGACCATAGAATTTACAAAACGCTGTCTTGACAGAGGTGTTCCCAGAGCCTTGTAATAACTCAGCCAGTAAATAAGTAGTATTCTTTTGAATGACAGAGAAGATTATATTTATAACCAATAAATAACTTGTATTCTTTTGTGGAGGCGTTTCCCTTTAAATAGTGAGAGCCAATAGATAACAAGTATTATTTGATTGACAGAAAAGTTTCCTTGTGAGGAGTGTGGCAAAGAATTCTCTACATCAATAGGAAGGACTGTTCATCTCAACATTCACAACAAACACAAACAGACCATTAATTGTCCAATATGTGACAGAGTTTTTAAGAAGTAAGTTCAAAATTTAATCTTCTAAGCATTCTTGGGTTATTTTTTGAAACTTAAGAGAGGGGACTTTCTTGAAACTTAAGGGAAGGAGGACCTTCTTGAAACTTAAGGGAGGGGGAATCTTCTTGAAACTTAAGGAAGGGGGACCTTCTTGAAACTTCTGAAACTTTTCCGTGAAGGATGAAAATAGAGATAAAATTCAATCTATTATGGATGACTTAATGTTGAAAATAAAATTCTGTAAAGAAAACATAGTAATATATCTAATTTATAGTTATTTGTCTTTGCAGAGAATATTGCACAACGTAGACATGTTACATTACACTCAATGTCTACAACATAGAGGTGTTACATTACACTCAATGTCTACAACATTGATATGTTACATTACACTCAATGACTACAACATAGAGATGTTACATGTACATTACACTCAATGTCTACAACATTGATATGTTACATTACACTCAATGACTACAATATAGAGATGTTACATTACACTCAACGTCTACAACTTAGAGATGTTACATTACACTCAATGTCTACAACATAGAGATGTTACATTACACTCAATGTCTACAACATAGATATGTTACATTACCCCTTCTCCACAAGCACTTGCCTAGTGTGATGCAAGTTTGTTTGAAGTTTATCATTTCATAATAGCATTCTTCTTGGTCTTGTATTTTTATGGACTGTATTTTTTAATTTCAGTCTCTAAAAAGCAATTTTGATTGTTTAAAGCCTTGAAAAAAAAAATCTAAAAGACCTAATTAGTGCACATTTCCTTTTGATCAGTAATAGAGATTTATTGATCTTGATTGTTACACAATTTTCTTTACAGAAATTTATCTATTTATGAGGACCACTTAAGGGAACATGAGCTAGCCACCCTGTTCATCTGTCCTGTCTGTGGCCATGGTTTTAGTTCTAAAGTAGAGCTAACTTGTCACCAGAAAAAACATCTGGAGAAGATGGAGGGGGCCAGTTCACATGTACTTAGTGCAGTCCGAGGTCTGGTCAATCAAAGACGATGATGGTAAGAGAAGAGAATACAGTGAAACATTGTGGATTTGGTCATAAAGAATGTATATTAGTTAAAAAATATTTTTGGCAAAGAAAGGGTTCACATTGATGAAAATATTATGTTTTACAGTTTCCCAGTCATTCTGTATATTCTTCAGTCTATACAGTATGTGACAGGTTAGGAGATATAAGACCATTTTTTAAAAAAAATGCTTGGTTGCCCTCTCCTGACTGAAGGGCTAAAAATTGCCCGACTCAAAACTTTTTTTACCTTGCGGGTATGTTAAGGCTACACTCAGATATCCTATTTGCCTATACAATATGACGTCATAGTAAGCTGTGTGACGTGAACTTTAGAAATAATGATTTCTTAATATCTATATTTAAAGTTTAATTTCAGGTCCAAAAACTGAATGAAATCATTTAAAAACAGAATATAAACTAAATTTTGTTGTTTTTTTGGTGGTATAAATAGCTAAGTATTTATCACGGGGGTTAAATACCAAACTCATGACGTCATAACTATTGATCGAGAAAATTAAACGTGACGAGAATTCATGTAAACAAATATACAAAATGGGAGTTTTAAAGCATAAACCGTGAATGTCTTCTGTGATTCGTAAGGAATTAAAGATTAAGAATCAGGTATGCTGATTTATTCTTATCATGTTTTCTTATAATGAACACAGGCAGTGTTTTGAAATCCAGATTAGCCTTTCTTCTGTCGTTCTAACAATAAAGATGCAAAAGTTCAACACTATGCCACATACTTTTGAAACATAAATAGCTTGTATTCTATAGTACTTGGAAAGTGCTGCTAGAATCATGTGGTTAACATGAATTGATGACAATTTGTTGACTGTATGTACAAAATATAAAAATTTTGGTAAGGTTTCATGCAAAACTTTGGAATAATTTTTTCTGTGTCGGGTGAGTAGGATTCTAGCAGCACTTTTCATGGCCAAATGTTGTTTTTATATAATTATTTTCACAAAAAGAAATAAATTATTCCCGGGGTAGTGTTGAACTTTTCACTTTATCGTTAAGGCAATTTTTCTATTAATAGACATCACATGATGACGTCACAGTGGAGTGCTTCTTTTAGCCTAAGACTCAATGTCGTCTATACAATGGATAATAATAGTAAACAATTTATCTATGGCTTTTCCAATTTATCAATGTTACATTTTACGAAAAAAGTCTAAATTCTCCAAAAAATGATCTGGGTACTGCCTTAACATACCTGCGCTCCTGGAAGCAATTATTTATTTTTTTTATGTATTCTGGACAAAAGATTTTAAAAATTTAGCATTGAAATTGAAATTTTCTGAGAAAAAAAAATTCTCACCCACCTACCAACCCAATTTTTTCATCCTGAGTTGGGAAAAGGCAAACAAAATTTTATTTTAAAGTTGGCCTAAGGAACTGTAAAATTTGATGTTTTGAATTGTTAATTCCATCCTTGCATGCGTTAAAGATTTTATGTTTACTACAGTTTGAAAATAAGGAACAGAATGGGTCTATTTAAAAACAACTAAATGACTGCCTGAGATTTTTCTTTACATATTTGAAGATTTATTGTTAGAAAAACAGTATTCAAGATTAATAAAACTAGCATTAATTATTTTTATCAAACGTTAAAAATATCAAGATTTAGATCTGTGAAATTTACAGAAAAATTTTAAACTACAGTATTTTTATCTCTTTAGGTGTCTCAAAATCTCCATGGTGAAAACAATATTCTAGCAGAAAACAGTATAAAATTGAGAGGAAGATTTCAACAGGGAGATTGGTTTGTTGATCCTGCAGTAAAAAAAAAAATAGTTTGAAACAGACAGAAATCTCCAAATGAAAATCAGGATTTTGCCTCAGTTTCAGTGAAAGTTGAATGACAATAGCCAAAAAGTTATTGTACCAGACAAAACAAAGAGATACCTACTCAGGCTCATTGAATCCTAGTCAGTTGTTCTGCTGACCAAAAAATAAACCTGCTTGATTGACACTGTGAAAAAAAGTGGATGCATGCATAATGAAAATGAAAGTACATGTAGATGAGTAAACTGAAAGTACAAATGGAGAGGAATGGTTCTGAGAAAATTGAGAAACTTAGCAGAACTAGTTTGACAAATATCTGCCTTGTCAAAGAAAAAAAATAGGAAACATAATATATAAAAATTATTTTTAATATAATTTAATGTGTATAATTTAATGTGTATAATTTAATGCAATGTAACATTAAAGAGAGTATCTAGTCAAAAGTATATCTGATGGCTTTTATAAGTTTTGTTTTATATTTATTACATTTATGATGTATTTGTGAGTCAGTGAGTGGCAGGAGAGAAGAAAATATGACTGTAAATTTACTAATATATAATACTTAAATGTACATATAGAAACAAGAAGTGTATTTCCCCAAAAATATTATTAAAATTTCAGTATGTTATGACATAAAAAAATTATATGGATAGATTGCTCACTTAAGTCTTAGAATTTGAGATAATGAAATTCACAATCGAGGTAAATGTGATTGATTAAATAAGTCAAAACTTGTGACAAGCAATAAGTCTTGTAAGAATGATGCGTCTTCCTGGTTTCTGGGTGTTAAGCAGATAAGAATCATTGGGACACCAGTCCATCACAGGTTAACCCCCAGCATAAGTGCAGCTGGGTGGACCAAGACAATGTAGATAAAGTGCCCTGTCTAGGGACACATCAAATATCTTTAAAAGTGCCAAGAATGGAACGTGAACTGGCGATATTTGGGTCAGTTTACTATTAAGGAGTTAGAGGTCAAGGCTAAGGTAACATCAATGACGGTGTAATTTACATTTAATTAAATTACTTCACTTGACCTGTTTGTGATGTTTGATATAAATCATACTCAATAAAACTAGGCCATACTCAACAGAAATAAATTTTATTACCAGTGTCAAGGTCAATTTTAATGTCAAGGTGATTTTCAATGGAATGATTCCGTCTTCCGTAAGATATATTGAAACGGCCGAGTTTTTACGATTGGTTGAATTTGTCTTGATTGAAACAGATCTGCAATATTTTTGAAAAACACTGTCCATTTTGAAGGCAAATTGAATACTGACTACGTATACTCTAGCCCTGCTTTCGAGTTCTTATAGAGTCACCGCTGATCAATTATAACCCTCATGGAAGAAAATTGAAACACTGAGGTAATTTGGTTAGTGTGCAAAGACTATCTTTTTATTATTATTATTAATACCAGTTGTCACATACATGTTTATAATATGGCATTACAACATTATGTCATTAATGAGTATAATAAACAAATACAAAAAAAAATATTATAATAGTGACAATTGAGAAGGAGAGAGAAAGAAAGGAGAGAGAGGGGAGGGGATTGAGAAAGGTAAAAAAAAAAAAAGCCTGATCATAGAGAAATATCTGTTCATTAAAGTACTGGTAAGAGTACAATGTATCTCCAAGCATTGCAAAATGTTTTTAAGTGTCTAGTCGCAGGGTCTTACATATGTGAAAGCCAATTTTTCCATTTATTATTAAACTCTTTAATTTGATTACTTTTTGTTGCACTATATCTCATGGTAAATAGTAATGTTTTAACATCTTCACGTAAAGACTATCTGACGACCTACTGGTTCCCAATGCTTGTTAATGGAGAAAAATATTGCTGAAGGGAAAAGAAAAGTGGTCTTAATTTCAATACTTTCCCATCTTAACCATGATAATGGTGAAAAGATTACGACCTTTACTTTTTAAAACCGAGGATTGAAAATTACGGAAAGTTATTCGTGTACTAAATAAATAATGAAAAAGTAAGTCCGCCTGCTGAAAAAGTACGTGTATATGCTTCATGATTTCTTTTTTCATTTCTAATAATTTTTGCGCATTTTAATGTTACCTACAATTTTTTTTTAGAAGGGAGGGGTCTTTTACATGGATGGAGTTGGGAAGATTTCTCAGCATTAAATTAAATTGCACTCAATCTAACCTAGCTTTTAAGTTTATTTCGTCCTTAAAACTGTTGTAGGTGTCAATGATACAATGGTCAGCACTGTTGATCTTGTACATGTAACTTCACAGATGAATCAAGATGAGGCGTTTTTATTTATGTTACCTCAAAGTTGGCCATGTTAACCTGGATTGTAATTTGATCCTTGCCTTTAATCTCTTGAAATTGTCAATTTTTTCCTTTATTTTTTAAGTGGTTCTGTGTAGACTTCTTTTTTATATTTCGGCTTCTAATTTTAACATGTAAATAACGTTGATTTTAAAAATTTGCATTCAATCTTCTGAAGCTAGCTTTAGGCAACTAGAGCTCTTTGAAGGGGACTTGTTTACCCCAGACTTGTATCGGGAGGGGGGGGGGCTATTTTTTTCCCCAAGAATTATTTTTGTTGTTAATTTGTATTTATGGAAAATTTCATTGAAAATTATTAACAATCATTTAGAGTGACCTAGTATTATGCAAATTTTAAAACTTTTTATTCATAACTTTTATGTGTATTATCAATAAAGCTATGAAAAATAGCGTTTCATTTCCCCATGTGCGCATTCTAACACAACTGCGCTGCGGCCGATAATAAGATGCAGCTGCTTGGGTAACTTCCAGTGTTAACAGATGATCTGGTTAGTATAGTTTCACTTGAGAATGTCAAAATGGCATATAAATTCTGTAAAACCGTGATAAAATGTAATATTGACATACCCCCCCCCCCCCAAAAAAAAATTCATGCATTCTACTTTTTTGGTTTGGAGGCACACGAACACTCAAGAATTTTTTTTATGTTCTCATGATTAATTTGCAGGCATTTTTAAAAATTGTTTGCATTTTTATTTGTCGCAAAATAAGCTTGACATTAGATTTTGGTTGGAAATATTTTCTCTGAAGACCTTCCTGTCTAACGTAAGAGGTGGTACGGAGAGAGAACATGCAGACAGGTGGATGGGCGTGGGATAGTCTGTGTTAACAATATTCCGGAATAATTTTTTCCGGTGTTTTTAAATTTTATTTTTAGTCTCATTACAAACATTCCGATTGTACAAAGAACGATCCGAGTCTGGAGCATCGAGCCTGACTAGGACAACGCGCTGCTGTTTGTTGCACACGGTAAGTCTGTCTGATTTTTTTGAATATAAAATGTTTGTGCATTTCATTAAATAATACTAGACAAATATGTGCATTGAATCATAATGTGTATTTCGAACTCCTTTCTCCCTTTCATTTGTTGTTTTCCGTCCAATAAAATACTTAAAATTTCATCAAAATTTAATGCTTTAATCTATTTGAGCGATATATAATCAAAATAGATATTATCATTACTATGAAGTACTTGATCAGGAAAGGAAACCACTCTGTAATCTAAAAATTTACAATGATTGTGACATCGATATCATGGTCAAAGAGGGATAACTCCTACAAACTACATGTACAGTATTTGGCCATAAGTGAGTCATAATATATATTTTATTGAAAAACCAATTTTTATAAAAACTTATTGTGACGTCAATTTTAGTCCAATTTCCATGATTTTTTCATTAAATCATGCAGAATTGTTCAAATTTTCTTGTCTTATAATGCTATTAAACGAAATGTTACACTTATCATTGAGTGTAATTTATTAAATCGTCAAGACAAAAATTTCTAACCTCAAATTACTATGATTTCTTAGCAAATTAGAGGTGTAAAATTTTTAATTCGCATTTGACGTGTGATATCACCGCAGTGCCTACAGATAAAATTATTTTGAGATTATATCAAGAAACTGCAAAGAATTCTTCATTTTATAGTGTTTTAGTCATAAAAAATGATCAACAAATAACACTGCAATAATATTTTAGAAAAATGCATTTTTCAATGAATTATATAGTGGAAAAATAAAATTATGACTCACTAATGGCCAGGTACTGTACAAGTAACCAAGCTAACAGAGTCTGTATAGTATTTCAAAGAAATGGGATGTCAGAGAGTCGACTTGGAATAAATGTAATTTTTTTTTTATTTAAGCATGCGATCAGAAATACTATATACATCAAGTCTGCTATTTTCAGAAGTTAACAGAATGTCAAAGAGAAGACCTTCACATAGAGAGGCCACAGAAATGGAGAAAATGCTAGAGGATTTTGGTACAAATCTTGGTGCGTGTTTTTTTTTTTTTTTTTTTTTTCACTTTTTCTATCTTTTGCATAAATGCTCCACTGACATTTATTTCAGTTATTAGTTTTGTATTGAAGTATATAACAGTCTTTATGGGTCTTATTAAAGATACCACAAATTAATTTTCTTATCTCCATTACAGGAGAAAGTTTTACATTCAAATTTTTCCCAATATTTCTTGCAATTGAAAACTTATTAGAAAATTATAATTGTATTTTGGTATAAGTTGTGAAAAAAGACTCTTAAAATGTTCCCAGTAACTTTACAGTCAAAAACTTCATACATATCTAAAATTTTTCAAAAAAAAAAAATTGAACTAAATTTCCCCACTTTTCACCAAATTATGTGGCATGGTAAAAAAAAATTAAGTTGTTCAAAACTAAACTAATTATATATGTTCATTGGTGAGAGAGGCACACATTTATGTCATACATGTAGTGGATACTACCAATAAGATAAATCTATGCTTTATCCATGGGTAATTATGCTTTATCAATAGCACTTTCGGTTTTGACACAGTCCCTTGCTTCAAAGATGTAGATTCATTGAAATTTAAATTTGTGAAAGTTCTGCATTATCATATGAATGCTAATGAGCAAAAATGCTCATTTAAAACATGAAAAGACTCATTATACCTCATTGAAATGTCAAATTTAATAAATGTATCGTACTGGCTAAGTACTCGATGACGGATGTCAACCCTCACCCCATCGTTCTCATAGAAAACGTTAGGCTTACAGTCTAGCATTGAGTAGTTTGTGGAGGATTTCTTTGACCGTGCAGGAAAGTCTAGCCACTTCCAACACCCCCTTACATTATAATACTATTAAGATAACTTACCATAGATCTACAAGTAGCCTAGCACTGTTGCCGTATACAGAATGATTTCAGAGAACAATTTATGATTCCTCAGTTCTTACAACTTCCTGTCAAAAGTTTGTATGAAATAAATCTCAAACAGATTGTCACATATGTTTTGAAAGACGCAACATTCTAAGATTTCATATTTTGGTCATGATCTACAAGTAACTTTCTTTCGGCATGTCAACGTCAACAGTGTGATGTCATCAATTTATGCGTCATCAATTTGGGTTGAAATCATTCATAGTTTCACAGGAATTATCTCAAAGTTTTGTTATAAATGAAAATTGTATGAGATAAATAGAACATCTATAATTGTGTGATTTGATATTTGCTTTATCCAACTTGTTGAAATGGCGCCGTGGTGTATATTTGCTCAGGAAGCCTCGCAAATATACACCATTCAACTCGTTGGATAAAGCAAATATCAAATCACACAATATAGATATCCTCTATATAAGCAATGATATTTAGCATGTTGAGCATTTTACCCGATATCTAAAATCCTCAGATATCTCAAAGTTTTTTGCAGTTCCATTAAGTTTGAGTTAACAAGGTTTGACTGTATAGGGAATTTGCAATTTTACATGTTTTCCTTCTTATATCATAATTGTATGACCTGGATTAGAACAGCTTAGAATTTTTTTCATTTTTTTTAAAAACAACTTGGGCAAATGAAGAATTCACTGCCCCAAACTAGGTTATACCATGTATACTGTAAAACTTATTAAATATTCAATTCATTTTTTTTCGGGGGGGGGGGGGGGGGGGGGGGGGGGGGCAGTTGGAATTATTTATGTATTTATACCATGGACAATATACGGAATGCTTTGATATCTTTATTTTTTCAGAATGCAATCAAGTTTATGATAATTAGGTTTGATTGTACCCTCTTTTTTTCAGGTGAGACATCTTACACGACAAGGTGTGTATTACCATGGTAACCAGTATACAAACAATTCTGTGTTTTCACTTTTGTGTGGACATGGTTTAAACTTCTGTGGCTTAAAATCCAGAATTTCCCTAAGAACTGGCTACCGGCCAGATTGACAGCTTCAATTGATAAAAATGCCGCTTCGAAATAAAAAAATATATATATATATAAATTTAAAAAAAATCAAAATTAGATTGTTGTAAGGTCCACAGAGATTTGTCATAAACTTCAACCCAAAACCTGTTACAATTAATCTCTAACCTTTCACTTTGAAATAAAGGGAAATCACTGCATGTCATAATGTGTATATTTTTTGTAAAAATTTTGGTTCTCTTTTACAAGCCTGCAATGTTCTTTAATATGTGGTGTTTCAGGCACTTTAAGGGGGCTTCTACATCTAACAGGTGACTCAGGCCAATAAAATTTTGCCAATGCTAGCCGGACTGGGCTAGTGATGAAAAAAAATTTTGGCAAACACTGCACAAGACCTTTCTCATGTTTCTCTGGATATGAACATTTTTGAACTCTTGACCTTGGATTTGACCTACATGTACACTTAAAAAAACTTTAACCTTCGTCTTGAGCTGCCATATACTTTGGCATGAGTATTTCACAAAGACATCTTGTCTTTTTTTTTTAAATTATGAGCTATGGAGTTAGGGTTGGGCCAAAATCAGAGATCCAAATTTTTATATTTGAACATCAAACATGTAGTTTTTTATGCAGTGTTTTTTTTAATCTTTAGTGAGTTTAGTGAGCTACAGAAATCCAAATCAAAGTATGGAACAAATGCATCAAATCTCACTCGGAGTATAAGGAGAACCATATTCCAGGCAGTCAAATGCTGCAAAAAACTGAACGAGATTGGTAAGGACTTTATACTCGGTGATTAAATCACTTATTAATATTTTTAATTGTGATTACAGGTAGCTTTGTTGGGTCTTGTTTCAAGAAAATTATTTGACAAAACAAAGAAAAACTGGAGACTAGCATCTTGAGGTTGAAATTATGGGAGATTCATAAAAAAAAAAATTATTTGAATTATGTTTTATGTGATTTTTTTCTGCACAGAACTGTAAACCAGCTAATATTTGCATCATCTTTCATTACATCATTGGTAACCCAAGGGCTTGTGGACTTAAAACCCTGGTTTGCGATGATGCTTTCATTAGTGATTTGACAGTTTCATATTAATCCCTGATCATCATGATTATTTTTTGTGACTGAGAAAATATTCTCTCCAAATACACTGCAAAATAACTGGTTCGTGGTGATGAATATTTGTGAGTTAAAGAAGGTTGCGAAACTGACAGATATTTCTCACATGCGAATAAAAATTGGTTTACAGTATATTTTGGATTTTTGGCTTGGCATGATCATTGTTTGATGTGAGATTTGATAATGTAATTTATTTACAGTGTATGATATGACAATGTAATTTATTTACAGTGTATTATATGACAATGTAATTTGTTTACAGTGTACGTTGTGATAATGTAATTTGTTTACAGTGTATGATATGATAATGTAATTTGTTTACAGTGTATGATATGATAATGTAATTTGTTTACAGTGTATGATATTGGCGATCATTGCTTGGGAATGGTCATTCTTTTAATACTGAAACTGTTTACAATGGAATTTTGATGACATGGAAACATTAGCAAAATTGATGAATAACTGAACTATGTCAGAGTTTCCACTCATCAACTTTCACTTCATTGTTACAGAGCACTGTTAAATACTAACACATCATCAAAGTTTTCACTCGCCATATTTCTAAAATATCTAAATCATCAAACTTTCAACTTTAAAAAAAATATACATGTAACTACTTTTACAGTATGATAATTAATGTTTTAGATCATTATCTGGAGGTGGTCGTTGTTTAACATGATAATGATTTTTCATTTGCAGCACAGGATATTGGGGATGCTGGTCTGGGTATGGCTGTTGTTTGGGAAAGGAATAGCTCCATCAAGACTGTTGGCAACAAAGCATTACTGAACAAGGTCTCTATGCATACCTTATAACCCTTTTTTTGCAAGTCAAAGAGCTTTCTTCTCTTTGGATTTACCCATAATTGTTGCAATTTTGGACCCCCTTAATACGATTTATGATTCAAGAGTATTTCTGAAAAGGCTAATGCAAAACTGATATTTGAGTGATTACCTTATAACCTTTTTTTGCATATCAAAGAGCTTTCTTCTCTTCAGATTTACCCGTAATTGTTGCAATTCTGCACCCCTTTAATACAATTTATGATTCAAGAGTACATGTATTTTTGAAAAGGCTAATGCAAAACTGATGTTTGAGTGATAAATATTGTCATGCAGTTTTCATTCTAGCTTTGTTATAACGATGAGTACAAACACTGCCCAATTGGTGATAAATTTAATGCAATTGTATTTTATTGCTTGTTATAAAAAAAGGCAAAAATGTGGAAATTAGACTATTGTGAGAAAAATTGTTATCTGGTACTGTACTTTTGTTGTACTTCATATCTAAATAATTAGCTGCCATAATGTAACCAAAAAAAAAAAAAAAATGGAGAGGGCTACACTATTTCAGCTACTTCATGATGAAATACAACTTCAGAACACTTGACTCATTCTTATTACTGGTATCTATATATCAGGTCATAAAGGTCATGAGTCAGACTTGCAGTAACCATGGTGATGAATGTGTCCCTGGGTCTTCTTTGTCAGATGAAGGTGATTTGTCTCGAGCTTTTACTGGTAACTTAGTCTTAAGGTCAGACAACATGTTCCTCAAATATATGTTTTGTATACCTTGGTATTATATAAAAAAAATATTCATATTGTCATTCTCTTGTAATTTCTAAATTGTTTTCAATACCGCCGATATATGGCTGAAATATTGCCGACTCGGCATTAAACAATATCAATCAATATGTTTCAAAAATATAAGTACACCAAAATTTGTGACACTGGCAATTCAAAAGATTACCCATAAGGATTATATAAGAAATATCACCCTCTGGTATCTTGCCCAAATGCCTGGTAAGGTACCTCAATTTTTGGTGAGGAAACTTGTTTAAGTAGTTATACTTCAATGACAAATTATTGGGGAAAATGATATATTTTTGAGGAATGTGTCGTCTGACCTTAATAAGCATAAGAGCTGAAAGAATGTATGAATGTAGAAGGTCTGACCTTTCATTGGGGGCTTATTTTTTAAAGCTTACAAAAACAAGACCAGACCTGTTTACTCTTACATTTTCGCTATATATTGTATGAATTTTAAGTCCACAATACATCTCACGTTTTGCTATTATGAAAATATGGAAATCAGAAATCTGTTCATTTGGGTTGCCAAATCGCGGTGGTTTAAAAAATGACAGAAAAGTAATCAGTAATGTAGATGTCGATGGAAAGTGAAATCTTACTGGCAAATGCCAAATCTCACTGACAAATCTAATAAGGCCAAATAAAAAAATATGTGTGGTTCCGGTTACCCGGCCGTCCCTATTTTATAACCCCGGCCCTAAACTTTTTTAGGGCAATTTTCATAATTTTTCCAGAATTTTCTCCCTTTTCCATCATTGGCTCCAGTATTAGTTTGTTTCAGCAATGGCTGTCTCCTTGCAAAACATCATTTCAACATATAGTGCAAGTTTTAATAGTGTTAAATCCAAAGCAAGCTAGTATGTAGGTGTCACCTACCAATGTTGACTAGTATATTATCACACCACATCTAAATGCCACTTGCAAAGCAGTGAAAGGTATTATTTAGAAAAATTATGAAAATCATTTTATTTAAAAAAAAAAAAAAAAAAAAAAAAATCCCCACCTACCTACCCTAATTTTTTGGAGGTGTAACCGGAACCACACATATTTTTTTGTTTGGCCTAAAAAATATTGAGAGACAACAATATGGGTAAAAAGGTCTGCGAGACTGACATAGGTTTTAGTTTATCAAATTAACATGATATTGACAACAATTACCTCTTTGTAAATATTCAACTTTTTGATTTTCCTTTTTTTTGAGGAAAAGCTGCATGCTTATCCTAAACAATGGACAGTTTAATGTCAAGCAACTACATGTTATATGTCAATAAATTTATTACATATCATTATACTTCTGGTCAGCAAATTGTGGGTAGTATAACATTTGAAGGAAATACAATAAAATATAACATATAAAGATTCATATATTCTGTGTCCTGAGTAAAAATTTATTTCACTTATTGTTTAACAATTACTGATCAGTCTTTATACATGCATTTGACTGTGTATAAAGGTTCTTTTATATTTCATTCTGTTTCATTTATGATGCAAATCAAACATCTGAGATAACATTTATACGTCATCAATTTGAATTTCTGCTTCTTTGATATCTGTTGAAAAATACTTTTATTTTATTTCAGAGAGTGCAATTGGAGAAAATGGTTTGTCTCTAGATGATAATACAAAACATAGAACATCAGGACAGGAAGTTAAAAACAATGTAGACAGTGTATCAAAGGGAACAAACAAGAGTGTTGAACTAGAAAAGAAAGAAGATAATTCACTACAAACACCAGATCAGTGTAAACAAAACAGTGAAGATGGAGATTCAGAGAAAAAAGAGAATAAAGTGTTTAGAAGAGCTACAACTGGAAAAAGGAGTAATAGTGAGATGTACCAAAAATCTAAAGACTCGCAGCTGCTTAGTCCACATGTCCTTCTGAAAAGGGTAAAAATGACCTCACTTCTAAAACCAGCTCCTATTCAAGTAGAAGACGGCTGTGTTCAGGGTACCACAAGTGAACTTGAAGAGACTCTCCCCATACCAGCTCCCTCTGTCCAAGTTAAAGACAGTGGTTCTCAGAGTTCCCCAAATAAAGGGAAAGAGACACTTCTAAAACCAGCTCCTACTACCCCAGCAGAAGACAGCTGTTCTCATGCTCCCTCAGATAAAGAGGAAGAGAAACTTTCAAAACCAGGTACTTCTATCCAAGAAAATGATAGGTGTTCACAGGGTCCCCCAAGTAATCAGGGAGAGACTGTCCCAAAACCATCTCCTTCTATCCAAGTCAATGATAGTGGATCTCGTGGTCCCCCAAGTAATCAGGGAGAGACTGTCCCAAAACCATCTCCTTCTATCCAGGTCAATGACAGCGGTTCTCGTGATCCCCCAAGTGAACAGGGTGACTTGGAGACTCTCCCAAAACCATCTACTTCTATCCAAGTCAATGACAGCGGTTCTCGTGGTCCCCCAAGTAAACAGGGAGACTCGGAGACTCACCCAAAACCAGCTACTGTCCAAGATGAAGACAGTGGTTGTCAGGAAACTCCAAGTAAAGATGGAGAAACATCGACCTGTGTAAAAGATGACAAAATAATCGCTTTAGAAGAGCTGAAAGTTTCAAACAGTGAGTTAATTAGTATTAAACTATCAGAATGATAAAGGCTCTTGAGTTTTATCTATGAAACACTTTGATAAAAATTTAATCAAACTTTATTGTGTAGATCTATTTTAACAAAAAATACTTAAAATATATTATCATTACCATAAAGTAATAAGCAAGCAAAGGAAACCAGTCTGTCAATCTAAAAATTAACATGGACAAAGATGAATGAATCCTAAAAACTACATGTACTTGCATAGATAATGAGGTACTAGCTATGTATAACCATGCTTACAGTGTCTGTAAAGGATACTGTGAGAGAAATGGGATGGCATATCCTTAAAAAATGTAAATGCATATGTTTTCTTTTAAAGCATGTCATCAGAAATGCTATATACATGTACATCAAATCTGCTATTTTCAGAAGTTAACAGAATGTCAAAGAGAGGAAAAGAGGTTACAGAATCAGAGATCGAGAGAATGTTAGAGGATTTCAGTTCAAATCTTGGTGCGTGATTTTTCCATATTTCATCTCTTGCATAAATGCTCCATTGACATTTATTTCAGTAATTGTTTTTGTACTGAAGTATATAACAGGCTTTATGAGCAATTGCATCTTCTTGGGCCTTTCTGGCAAGTTTGGAAAAACACCTCAAATGTATTTACATCACCAGATGTTAAAAGGAGATGGGCGAACATAACATGCAGAAAGCCTATAGCTTCAGAAATATAAAAATCATGTTCAGTTTGTGAATTTAATATTTAGAGTAAAGTTCTCATTATTGAAATTTATGAAATTGTGATAAACAAAACTTTTCTGAGGAAAATTTTCTTGGCAAAATTTATTCTTTTATTAAAAAAAAATAATGTGGTATTCATGGGGTTCGAACCCTAGCAATAGAAATCCTGAGTATCATTTTCTTTCTAGACTAGCACGCTAACCACTAGACTACACAAGTTCCTGACGAACAGTGACATTTAAATCATGTTTGTGATATGACCCTTGACTTAATGGACTTCAAGTATTTCTCGAAAAGATGCGAATGTTATGTCATAAAAGTATATTTTTAAGGTATAGTGGGTCATTGCTCCATATTTTTGGTAACCAAAAAATGTATATTTTTATGCAATCTTTGAGGATTAACTTTCAAAAAGGTGGGAAAAAAATAGTGTTATAATATGATAAAATGACTCTTTTTGCCCGCTTTAGTGTGTAGCTAATATTTCACAGGCAAATAATTTCAATCGTTGAGGGATTTTTGCAAATTGTAGAGATTTTACATAAAGTATATTTTAATGTTAGATGAAATATCAAGGAAAATTTTGATATAAGTGAAATTTAATTTTTCATCTTCATGTTTGTCACACTATAGGCTTATCGCTCGTCATGTTCACCCATCTCCTTTATACAAAATGGAGTCGCTTCCTATTTATTTAAGTACTGGATAGACAGACTTGGAAGTCCCTCATGGAGTATATTTTAGGTAATATCTTTACATTCAATGAATTTAATCTCTATACTGTACAGGTAAGAGGTCTCCCTTCATTTATTTCAAAGTTTAGGAGAAGGGGGTTGTGATGGACACCTACTTAATAACACATTTGAGGTTATTTTTCTGCTTGTTGGAAAGGCGCGAGAAGTTGTGATTGGCTTTATGGGTCTTCTTATTATGGACACATACATGTTTCAGACCATTATTTTCTCAAAATGAATAATTTTAGCCACTTTTAATTTTCATTCAGTAATTTATCATGAAGTGATAAATATTTTATATATTTACATACAATAAGAGTGATTGCAAAAAAGTGAAAAAGGAATAATTTTGAACATTTTAGAAAGCAATACAATTTCTTGGTCATGATAATATTTTAGAATTTTGCATATTTATACCTAAGGCTTATTTACCATCAAAATCTAATAATATATTACAACACAAGCATCCAATTTTAAGCTCACCTGAGCTAAAGGCTCAAGTGATTTTATGAAACTGGGTTTGATATCCTGTATAGTATTGCAAAAAGAGTTACTTGGCCTTGATAAAACAAAAATGGCAGCAAAGATTGTGGAATTCATTAGATATGAGAAAAGCTACTATGTGAAACCACTCCTCATATGAAGTCATACTAATATGCAAGCATCTTCATGAAGTGTTGAATCAAGTTTGTTCAAATCATAACCCTGGGGGTAGGGTGGGGCTCCATAGGATATACATTTTACATGGGGATTCTGTAAAATATGGATGGTTATTGAAAAGTCAGTTGGACATGTGGAGTTACTTTGCTACTATAAACATACTTTTTTACACCATAATATCTGGAATGCTTGGACATTCAGAAGTTTTTTCTCAGTCCTGTCAATTTTGAAGTAATGAGATTTTAAGATAATGAGGTTTGACTGTACCCAACTTTTAAGTTTGACTGTACCCACTTTTTAAGTTTGACTGTTCCCACTTTTTAAGTTTGACTGTACCCACTTTTTAAGTTGGAGTGTACCCCCTTTTTAAGGTTTGACTGTTCCCTCTTTTAATGTTTGACTGTACCCACTTTTTAAGTTTGACTGTACCCACTTTTAAGTTTGACTGTACCCACTTTTTAAGTTTGACTGTTCCCACTTTTTAAGTTTGACTGTACCCACTCTTTAAGATTTGACTGTTCCCTCTTTTAATGTTTGACTGTACCCACTTTTTAAGTTTGACTGTACCCACTTTTTGAGTGTACCCACTTTTTAAAGTTTGACTGTATCCACTTTTTAAGGTTTGACTGTACCCACTTTTTAAGTTTGACTGTACCCACTTTTTAAGTTTGAGTGTACCCACTTTTTAAAGTTTGACTGTATCCAGTTTTTAAGGTTTGACCCCCTTTTTTTCAGGTGAGGAATCTCGGGAGACATCATACACAGTAAGGTGTGTATTACTATGGTAACCAATATACAAACAATTCTGTGTCTTCACTTTTGTGTTTCATTTTTGTGTAGACATGGTTTAAACTTCAGTGACTTAGAATCCCGAAGCTCTTTTGTTTGGTAATTCATAAGTGATAAGTGTATTTGTTAAAAAAATGGGTTATTTTTTAAAAAAATTTACAAGCCAGAACTCTATTTTGGTATGTTTTGCTTTAGCAATTTACTTTATCACTTGCGATTTCTATCAGGTTGACCATTGAAAAAAATGATAAAACACTGATTTTTTCAAAAAGTTATACCTAGAACTTATCTCAGTTTGTATGAAGTAACAAGAGGCAGAGAGAAAATTCTGCTATATTTTAGACTACATGTATAAAGGCTGTATTTGAACCCAGATTAACTTTACATATAGCTTTCTTATGCAGTGTTTTTTTTCTCCAGTGAGTTTAGTGAGCTACAGAAAACCAAGCTGAAGTATGGAACGAATGCATCAAATCTCATACGAAGCATCAGAAGAACTATATTCCAGGCAGTCAAATGCTGCAAAAAACTGAACGAGATCGGTAAGGACTTTATAATCACTTATTAAATCATTACTGTTTATAGTTATGATTAATATTAATCATCTTTGTTGTGTCTTGTCTTGAAAAAATTGACTTTAATTATTAGGTCACATGAGTCACTCAGATGACTTATTGCTATTTTTTTTTTTGGCCATCATTGTTCTTCATCTGTGGTGAATTGTCTGTCTTGAACATTTGAACATTTTCAGCTTCTTCTCTGAAACCACAGAGCCAATTTCAACCAATTTTGGCATATACCTTCTATAATTAAAGGGGAACAAAAATTGTGAATTTCTTGGTACCTGCTCCCCCTTTGGCCAGATGTGTGGAACTAAACCATCATAATTAATGAAATCTTTAAAAATATTTTTCTTTACTCCTGGACATTAAACATTATACCGTGATTGTATTAAGCATTGAGCCCTCACCAAAATTTTGAAATTCATGGCCCCAGGGTCAGGGTTCTAAGGTTAGGAGGGGCTCTAAAGATTATATAGCAAAAATGCATAAATTTTTTTTTAAATCTTCTTTTCTCCCCCCCCCCCCCTTCCCCATTTACTTTGCAGATAAACTAAGTGCATATTTATGATGAGCGAGGGTACCTCTTCCAAAATTGTGAAATTTGTGGCACAAAAATCAGGGCATCTGGTGGGGGCTCTATTGATTATATAATTAAATTCACTGTTTGTTTGAAAATCTTCATAGCTCCTGGGTAATAAACAAAGAAAGTGCATAGTTTTTGTTAGCAGGGATGCCTCTTCTAAAATTATGAATTTCATGGCTCCTGGGTCTGGGGTTCAGGTATTTGAGTTGGGCTCTATTGGTTATTAATTTCTCTCAAAAACTTTCTCTGCTTCTAGATATTTAGTAGACAAACTAAGTGCAATGGTTATAATGAGCAAGATTCCTCTTCCAATTTTGTGAAATTTGTGGCCCTAGGGTCAGGGGCTCTGGTGTTTTATGGATTTTTGCATGCTGGTCTCATACATGATATATGAGTTTTCAGACTGGTCATTCATACGAGATATTGTGTCATCATTTGTAATGTACAGTGGGGAATCAGTGTCTTTACTTTTTAAAGTATATGATAATTGACTTTTTCATTTACAGCATATGATATTGGGGATTATTATCTGGGCATGGTTGTTGTTTGGGAAAGGAATAGCTCTATCAAGACTGTTGGCAATAAAGCATTACTGAAAAAGGTACGGTCTCTTCACTTATCATATAACTGTTTTTTATCCTGCAACTACCCCTTGCATTGACCTAATAAAGGTAACCTAATAAACCAAAGCTCTTTATTCCGTCAGTGCCTTAATAAAGCCTCGTGCATGGTTGCGTTTTAACGTAGGTTGCGGGTTTGCAGGCAATTTAAAAGTGTCCGAAAACATACCATGAAAATTAGTTATATGAATCCTCTACCTTCGATTTATATTCTCTGAAAATTTTATAAAATTTGTCTGCATCGTTTTTGTGTAATTATATCCCAAACATGCCATTGTTGTCGTTACCATTTCAACGTTATTCTATTGAATTATATAAGAAAAACGTCGTTTTCGGCTCGTTTTGAGGCAAGATTTTGTTTCAAAAAATATCAATTACTTTTAAATGGTGCAGACGAAATTGTTTTCCCTTTGGTATTTTAACAAAGAATTGATTTGAAATAAATCAATGTGAAAAAATTAATATATCTTCGAGTTAGTTTTCGCGTAATTTAAATGTAGATAATTGCTTTTATATCGCAAAATATAACATTTTTAAGAAAGACGTCATAAAATATCGCGACGTCATGCTTGACGTCGTGAATATCTATCTGATATTCAGTGCAGAAAAATAAGCTAAAATAATTTTTATAAAAAAGAAATTCACGTCTATCTGCTTGTAAGTGACCCGTGAATCGTATCATAATAATTCAATATCAATGGAATGATTATTACTTTTATTAGACACGTCCTTTTATTTGGCTGTGTATTTTCCTTTTCAAGCGTGCTGGCGGAAAATGGTATCCTTTAATTCAAGTAAAATGTTTTTATTTAGACCATTCAGCAAGGCGCTTAAATCTACGAATTTCTGCCAAATATCACTATATACAATATATTTTCAGTATATATTTAAACAAAATATTTATTTTACATACCACATCTGTTTCTTTAAATAATGGCTTCTTTCTTAATAAAACAAACTGATAGTTCAAATACGATCAAAGGAAAAAAGGTCAGTTGAACCTTGTTTCCATATCGTTTCGTGATACCAAGTGAAAACAAATCAATTGCAATTTCTCGGGCCTTTCCGACATGCCGAAAACAACCACTTGTTTTTCCAAGCTTGCAGGAAAGGCCTGAGAAGATGCGATTGATAACAAATAATTAAACTTTTTTTTAAATATTTCCAGTGTCGATCATTCGAATCGTAATAAGCGTTCTCCACTAAATTACCAATTCCAACAAAAGTTTTATCTAAGTATTGTATCGACGATACAAATCGTAAAAAGCCTTCATTATTTGTGATAAGTTGTTGCTCAAATAATATAACCCTAAACTACCAATTCCAAGAAAAGTTATAGCTAAATAATGATATACTGAAGAATTTAATAAAACAAAAATCATCGCAGATTTCTCTTTCATTGTGACGTCATAATCAAATGTGCACAAGAAAGTCGCCCAAATCATATAAATTGTGTACCCAGTTTTGATGATGTCAGCAAACCCGCGACCTTCGTTAAAAGCATTGTGACGTCATACACATTGCAATGTTTATGCAGTGGCATCTTAGTTTCAACTGCAGAATCGGTTGAAAATAGCTCGTTTTTGGACGTCAGATGTAAAAACATGTTGCAAGATACCAAAATACATGGATACTGTCTTGAAATATAAGCGATATTTGGGCTCGGGTCGAAAACATGATAGAGGGCTCAGCAAGCCTCGCCCTCTATCACATTTTCTTACCCTCGCCCAAATATTGCTTATATTTCAAGCAGTAGCCTTGTATTTTATATTTCCTTCTTAACATAGGCCTGCCTGCTCTTCAGATTTTACTGTAATTGTTAAAGTTTTTGACCACAATCTATGATTTAAGTTCCAGAATCTCCAGATTTAGACCATTATTACTGATATAGCTTATGAAGATCAATGCTTGAATGATAGTAAATTTGTCATGCAATTTTCCAGTGTTAAGATGACAACGACTAACAAAGCCCAAATAGATACACAAAAACAGGAATTATGGGAAAAATTTTGCACCTTGCTTTTTGTATAATTGTCCTCAGTGTCTTGTCTTTTTTAAGTATCATATTAAAGCATTATCTTTGCAAGAACTATGATTGGTTTTATCTGAATTTCCTTAAATTTTCTGCATTAAAAGTAGAAAACCTTCTGCTTAAAATAAGATCTTACAGAGAGATTAATAGAAAACTACTGATAATATTCCATAAGGTCCTGCTATCTCAATTTTAGTGAAAATATTCCAAAACACAGTTGTGTCAACTTGTGTAGTCCTAACTAGCAATTATTCCCATACTTTCTTAGAGTTGTCTTTCTTAGATTATTTATGCATGGGTGAGAAAATTTATGCAATTGTATTTTCTTGCAATCAAAAAATACAAAAGAGTGGAAATTAGACTATTGTGAGAAAAATTGTTTTGTGGTACTTTTATGGTATTTCATATCACAACTTCAGAACATATGTCTGATACTTATTACTGCTATCTGTATATTAATTTAGGTCGCAAAGGTCCTGAGTCCCCCCTGCTGTAACCATGGTGATAAATGTGTCTCCACATCTTCTCAGGCAGATGAAGGTCATTCCTCTCAAAATTTTGCTGGTAACTTCATCTTGATAGGCATAACATAGAAAAATTTTATAAAAAGGGGTGGACACTGCTTAGATATAATATATATATAAATTTGTAATTTGGTTGTTTTTGACAAGATTATGTTATTACAGTAGTAAATGCATTGGACATATACATGTCCATTCATCTTTTTATTTGAGATAATTTTATACATCATTTATTAGAATTTCTGCTTCTTTGAGCACATTGAAATTGAATATAAAATATTTTACTTTATTTCAGAGAGTGGAAGTGAAGAAAATTGTCTGTCTGTAGAAGATAATACCAAACACAAAACATCAGAACCGGAAGTAGGAAATAATGTAGACAATGTATCAAAGGGAACAGATAATAGTGTTGGACTAGTAGGGAAAGAGAAAGAAGAAAATTCACTACAAACACCAGATCAATGTAAACAAAACAATAAAGATGGAGATTCAGAGAAAAAAGAGAACGAAAATAAAGTGTCTGGAAAAGATACAACTAGGAAAAGGAGTAATAGTGAGAAGTACCGAAAATCAGAGCTAAGCCCACATGTTCTCCTTAAAAGGGTAAAAATGACCTCACTTCTAAAACCAGCTCCTATTCAAGTTGAAAACAGTTGTGTACAGGGTACCCCAGGAGGACTTGAAGAGACTCTTCCAAAACCAGCTCCTTCAGTCCAAGTTAAAGACGGTTCTCAGAGTTCCCCAAATAAAGGGGAAGAGACACTTCTAAAACCAGCTCCTACTGTCCAAGATAAAGACGCCTGTTCTCAGGGCCTCCCAAACAAACGGGGAGAGACTCTCCCAAAACCAGCTCCTACTGTCCAAGATAAAGACAACTGTTCTCAGGGCCTCCCAAATAAATGGGGAGAGATTCTCCCAAAACCAGCTAATGTGCAAGTGAATGACAGCTGTTCTCAAGGTACCCTAAGTAAACAGGGAGAGACTCTCCCACAACAGGCTTTTTCTATCCAAGTGAAAAACAACCTCTTCCAAAATAAGCAGGGAGACACATTGACCTGTGTGAAAGATGGTAAAATAATCTCTTTAGAAGAGCTGAAAAAGCAAGTAGAGTTAGCATTAAACTCTCCAAATGCTAAAGCTCCTAAATTTTATCTACAGAAATCACCCAGCAGTGTTAGAGGAAAAACAACTGAAAATTTCAACAAAGCAATTATCTCTTCTTCAAAGGAATCGGAGAAAGTCATAAGTGTACAGACACGAACATTACCTCTACTGACACAGACATTACCTCTACAGACACAAAGATTTCCTCTACAGACACAAAGATTTCCTCTAAAGCAGCCAATAGTTCCAGTTGCCCTCAGAACAGTGGCAAACATTAATACGCCACAACTTGGGAAAAACACTGGAAATAAATCTGTAATTCCTCCTTCAGCAGTCAGCTTTGGGGGTCACTCCCAAGTTCTCCCTGTTTCAGTCTTTATCAACCACCACACGGGAGAAATCATTACTACACCTATCAAGATTGGAAGTCTGGCTGCTGAAAGTGACACTACGAACTCAACTCAGTTCAATAATGTTTCTGAATTGGCAGCAGCTAAAGCTCAGTTCAATAATGTTTCTGAATTGCCAGCAGCTAACACTCAAAAGGAATCAATTCAGTTCAGTAATGTTTCTGATTTGCCAGCAGCTCATGCTCGGAAGAACTCAACTCAGTTCAATAATGTTTCTGACTTGGCAGCAGCTAATGCTCAGAATTCACGTGAACTCGAGTGTGTGTCTGACTCGGTCACAGAAAGTTGTTCGTCAGAAGAAGATGAGCTAAAGTACTCCATTATTTTACAAAAGGAAACTGATACAGGGGAGTATAAAATGTATAAAGTACCTATTTCTAACACAGACGTACAGACCCAAGAGGACATTCTCCCAGAACAAGAGAGTGATGAAGGTGTTGTTGTGAAATGTGAGCCAATTGAAGAATCTTCTCAAATTACTCTTCAGTCACATAACCAGAGTGGTGTCATTGCTCTTCATTCACAAGAACAGAGTGGTATCAATGCTTCTCATTCACAAAGCCAAAGTGGTATGACTTCACTTCATTCACAAAACCAGAGTGGTATCTCTCCTAGAGAAACCAGTGAAATGGATGGAGGCAACATCATTGTGAAAAGTGAACCAGAGGAACTGAGTATATCATCACATCATATGAATACAAACATCAACAAATATAAAAATCCAGAAAGGAAGGATAGGCCGATCACCAAGGGGCAAACTCCAAAGATAGTAGAGTGTCCATACGAATATGCTCTATTAATGGACTCTGTTCCCAAGAAAAAAAAAGATCACACTGTGACATTCTCACACAACTGTAAAACATGCTGGAAATCCTTCAAATATGCCAGCTCCTTAGAGGTAAATGTTTAATGGGGTCTCTGTGGATCAAATCACAACCTATGTCAAGATATTTAATAAAGAAAAACGCAAAAATATAGTGGATTTTTTGCAGTATCTTCTTGAGAACTACTGGGCCAGAAAAGACTAATCTTAACTAAAAGCTTCCTGATGACATAGTGTAGCTATAAATTTGTTCAGATCATGTCCCCAGGGGTAGAAATTTTGTTCAATTCATGGATACCAGGGATGGGATGGGGCCACAATAGGGAATCAAAATTTTAGATAGGAATATATAAGTAAAATCTTTTCTCAAAACAACAAAACCATTATAGTCATTGATATTGAAGGTCCCCCATATTGTGAGAACTCAATTTCATAATTTAATGGGTTTAGGGGAGGAACTCTGTTCAGTTAAAAGCTTCAAAAATGAACATTTCTGATGTAATGAATTATGCTTACACATGTAGTAATTCAAAATATTTCATCTCCGGCACTTCAATATAAGCCTGTTTTACCGTACTATATTTACAGGTTCACGAGCGAATGCATGCCGTAGAGAAGGTGAAACAACATCGGTGTTACATTTGTGGAAGAACCTGCGCAGTTGCTCGGAGCCTAGAAATTCATATGAGGACACACAAAGAGCCGACAGACAAGTCTGAAAACACATTCAAGTAAGTAGATCTTCCTGTGTGTAAAATCAAACTTCATTATTATGAACTACATGGGGCTAAGGAAAAAACTCGATGATGTAGAAAAATTCAATATATTTAGGTTAGATGTTTTGTTGTTTTTAATGCACCAGATTCCCAGCAGAAGAAAATACAGTCCAAAAAGGAGTATTTATTTAGAATATACAGTCAAAAATAGGAATATAAGAAAATACAGTAAAAAATGGGAGTATAAGACTGAGTCTGTTTAGGATGTGAGGTTTTGTTCACAGTATGGTATGAAGTTTAATGTTCATAGAATATGGTGTAGTGTAACATTTAAGTAAAAAGTTAATTTGGCTTCATTTAATAACTGAAAGTTGACGGTCCTTTTAATTTAAGCAATATTTTAGATACTTTTATACTCAATGTGTATCTCTCAGTTTTACTTTTGTTTTTGTGTAATCACATGACAGTGTGACTTGACATCACTTTCCTGGTCAACACAATGTAGTGTACGGGTGTTTTAAATTGACCTATTTTATTACAGGTGTTTTAAATTGACCTATTTTACTACAGGTGTTTTAAATTGACCTATTTTACTACAGGTGTTTTAAATTGACCTATTTTACTACAGGTGTTTTAAATTGACCTATTTTATTACAGGTGTTTTAAATGTGATGAGAGCTTTTTCCACCAGGAGAGTTTCCAGGTACACATGAGGATGCATGTACACAAGTATCTCTCCTACTGTACAAAGTGTGGTGAGGGCTTCCACCATCAACATTTACAGAGACACATGAGAATTCATGAAGGTACTGCAGCAGTGTTTATTATACATCTGTTCACTCATTTCAAGTTGCTCGCATGGTGCAGTGGTTAGAGCGTCTGCTCTAAGAGTTGTGGAGTAAGGAGTTGATCCTTACATCACAGGTTCTAATCCACTTAGGGACATGGAGACCGGTACTTAGGATAAGTCCATATTAACCAAGGTCCCGTGTTGCAGTAGGTGCTGGCACGAAAAAGATCCCTCACTGCTCAATGGCTCTGAGTGCCGAGTATAGGTATAAATTTGCAGCCCTCCACCAGCAAGTGGTGGCATCTCCATATGAGTGAAAAATTCTTGAGAGGGACATTAAACAATGAACAAACAAACTCATATCAAGTTTTGTCTAAATGATAACAATTTTTCTAATAGAAATATAATTTAGAAGTTAATAAAAATACAGTAGAACATACTTACAGTGAAGTACCAGGGAAGAACAATTTTGATTGGTTATAAAATTAATATAATTCATCAATATCAGTTCTGTTCATACTATGTTTTTAAACAACAGGGAATGAAAATCACAGTGTATGCTTGAAGTCATTATAAACATGTGTGCTTTAGACATGATTTACTGTACCAGTTTCTTGTACCTTGTATTCTGTGTTTATTAAGTTTGTTATATCTGTTTTTGTGGCTTTAGGACAAAGAGAAAAGAATGAATCAGTCAACACAGCATCTGCCACAAATCAGCCGACGACGATTCTTACTGACCAGGGAACTCCAGAGGAGGATGTTGAATACAAGAGAAAAAGGCAAAAGAGGAGGGTGATTGTAGACGATTACAACAGAGGGTTAATCCCTACCGAGATAATGAAGCGACAGTTCAGGGATACGTCTGATATCACAGGCCACATAGAATACGCTCCCCCAACCAAAAAACTCATGCACTTAAAGGAAAGAGGTGACTGGGAGAGACTGCTGTCCTGTCCTGGAAGACCCAGTGTGTCCCAGACTGCTTCTAAGGTATAAAATATATGTGTTAAAAAGGTTTTACAGGTCAGCAGAAATTTTACATTGAGTTTATTGTTTTGTTTTTGAGCTGGATATGACCGTGTCATGTGCTTTTTCTGTCCCACACAGATTTTGTAACATATTTCAGGTCTACATTTATTACCAAGTTAAATTCAAGGAAATACAGAGTTAAGCACTCTTGCATCAATTTCTAGGGGGTGAATCGCAGAACAACATACTAGTAGTAGGTCATAATGACACATTGATCAAACAATTATACTGATTATGCTTGTTTCTGAAATGAAATTGAATGTGTACAGTCATAAAGGTCAAAAGAAGGTTGTTAACTTTCTTGATGTAAAAAAATTAACATTTAAAAAAGAAGGGTATTCTACTATGGGTTTTTTTATTTATGTCAGAACACTTAACAGTGGTATCTAGCCAATCTACCAATTTACAATTTTACATATAATGTATTTTGTTACAGTCATTTTCTCGGAATCTTATCACACAGACGATAGACCTAGGAGAAGCACCTGACCCTGATAATTTAGATCTAGAAGCCTTCGATTCCCCCATGGAGCAACAAGGTATTTGTCCATTGTATTCCAACTAAACATAACAGGAAAGGAGAAAGTCTGTGGGTGGACCCGGAATTAAACCCGGGACTCCTGCATAACTAGCCAGGTGCTATGTCAAGCTATCCAGGCTATCTGCAGTCCAAACCATTGCATAAATAATTATACTCTGCTTTGCAGCAAGGTTGAAATGATTTCAAGTTATTGGTAATCATTTGACTGATTTTCAGTTTATAAAAGTGATGAAATGGTATACTGAAAATCACTTTTTATTCACTAGAACTTTATTTTCATGAACTTATGCAAGAAAATCTGCTCACAAAAATTTTATTCTCACATTTTTTATTAGGTTGTGTTTTTAATAAAAAACCTGAATTTTTGACATTTTTGTCACGCTTATAAATACTGAATACTGTAAATCACTTTTTATTCGTGAGTACTTTATTTTCACTTTATAACGCGTGACAATCTGCTTGCAAAATTTTTTTCTTGCATATATTATTACAGTTGAACTTCTGTATCTCGAACATAGATATCTCCAAATACCATGGATTTTGAAGTCCAGAGTGCTTATTCCTTATTTTACCCTTGATATCTCAAATCCTTGGATATCTCGAAGTATTCTCTTGGTCCCTTGAACATGTTGAAGTTAGAGATAACGAGGTCTGACTGTATTAGCATAGAATATATACAGCAAAAACCAGCATTTTTGAAAATTTTGTTTTGCTTTTAAATACCAATTCTATAATTCGTGAAAATAAGGTATCGAAAAAATCTGGTGATCTACAGTACCTATCTCAGTAAGATATCATAAAAATATGGTGATCTACAATGTTATACAAACCATAGGTCATTGCTGATCAATTTTAGAGAAAATCCTTAATGATTAAATTGAAAGAAACAGGGGGAGACTTCAAGAACAGTGTACTGAAGTTTATTTTTTCCATAAATAGAGAAATCTTCAGGGTTTGACACTAAGGCACGTCCGACCGACCCAGTCTAGTAAATGAGTGGTCCAGTCGTGTAATATGTTCGTGAACTAGACCGACTGGTCGTGTGTATGAAATAAATGATAACCCACATTTCAGTTTTTTTATTTTATTATTTTTTTAAATTCTTATTTGTCTGATAGTAAACATCACCCATCGGTAAAAGAAAACTTCCCTTCATGACACAAGTACTATTTTTAGCCCAGCTGTAATAGACAAGTTGCGATGGGAACTAGCTTCATTCAATATCTAAAATTAGTATGAAGTTATTGAATAATATATTCTTTAATTCACAATGTATTTATATTAAGGGTAATTATTTTTATACTAAGTTCATTGATTGTTCCTTAATTAAGACTTATTAATATAATATCTGTGTGTCACGCTTAACCCGACTTAATGGCTAGCGACCTATGGAAGAGTCTGTCAAAATATATCTTAACAGTGAGAGACGGTATCTTCATTGAAGTATGGTTTCAAAACTTTTTTCCATTATAATTAGCAGTTTATAAAAAGTGAATTTTCAAGTTTGGTCAGGGCTAGTGATTTTATGGTCAGGGCTAGTAAAAATTATTGGAAGTAGCCCGACTGGTCTAGTACTCATAAAAGTTAATGTCAAACCCTGATCTTTTACAGGAACATCTCTGGAGGTAACTAGCATCAAGCAAGAACCTACAGATAACCAGATAGAATTTACAGCTACCATACAAACAGAACAACCTTCAAATGACCAGGCAGAGTTAACAACTACCATACAAACAGGTCAGAGAGAGACTGAGTCTCCAATATCTCTTAAACTGGAGCCATTACCATACTCTGAATCGGACCCTTCATAGAACAGTCCAACGAATTCTCAGTCTTCCAGCAGCTTAATACAGACTTCTACGAATTACAGAGGTATTAGGCGGCTATGATGAACATACTGATAGATCAAGACAGAACCTGTGTTCTCTAAGCCCTCTACTGGTGTGCCACCTTAATCCAGTCCCTTCTATATCAACATACAGATAGATCAAGACAGAACCTGTGTTCTCTGAACTCTCTACTGGTATCCCACCTTAATATACTCCCGTCTATATCAACATACAGATAGATCAAGACAGAACCTGTGTTCTCTGAACTTTCTACTGTTATCCCACCTTAATATCAACATACAGATAGATCAAGACAGAACCTGTGTTCTCTGAACTCTCTACTGGTATCCCACCTTAATATACTCCCGTCTATATCAACATACAGATAGATCAAGACAGAACCTGTGTTCTCTGAACTTTCTACTGTTATCCCACCTTAATATCAACATACAGATAGATCAAGACAGAACCTGTGTTCTCTGAACTCTCTACTGGTGTCCCACCTTAATATCAACATACAGATAGATCAAGACAGAACCTGTGTTCTCTGAACTCTCTACTGGTGTCCCACCTTAATATCAACATACAGATAGATCAAGACAGAACCTGTGTTCTCTGAACTCTCTACTGGTGTCCCACTTTAATCCACTCCCGTCTATATCAACACTATGCATGGATCAAATTCTGGGAAAAAATTGACAGCTGTAGAAAATGAAAGTGAAAAAGAAAGTCCTCATCAAGAACTTGGGAGATGATGCAATACTATTACATGTTACAAATTATGATCATATATGAAAAGAAAAACAACAATTGCTTTAAGCTTCAAAGAAAATTCCAGTGGCCACTTGGAGGAGAATGTATATTAATGTATTTACAGTTTTTGTGTTGTTGGGATGTATAAATCTCAATCAAATCATGGTGCTTGATGTACAGAGATAGTATAGACATTTAGATTTTGGAAATTGCATAACAGTCTTCTTCCATACATAAGATAAAGACAACAGATAAAGTGATTGATAAAAATCTTTAAAATTAAAAATAAAAATTTTATTGTTCAAACACAGACAATGTTTTATTACCTTTTGAGTATTTATTCAATATTGTACACATATTAATACAAGTACATGTAAAATACAAAGAAAAAAAAGAGATTTGTATAAATTATGAGTCAGTTTCACCAAGAGACTGGAGGTTTATTTTTTTCTGATGGTGTCTCGTACATCCTCTGTTCCTTTTCTCAGCTCAGCTTATGTAACTCAGAAACCTGCAAGAAAATCACTCCAGCTGTATTTGACAACAAGGCTAATAAGCAGCATTTTTAACATACCCCATGTTTGGGAAGGAAGGGGGAGGAGGTTCCCCCTATGCCTTACTTATGTTATAGTGAAATAATTTCAATGTTTCTGTCAACATTTAGGCTAACTGCCTTCATGGTGATTTAGGCTGAGTTCATGGTGATTTAGGCTAACTGATTTCATGAGGATCTAGGCTAACTGTGTTCATGGTGATTAAGGCTAACTGCTTTCATGGTGATTTAGGCTGAGTTCATGGTGATTTAGGCAGTGTTCATGGTGATTTAGGCTATCTGTGTTCATGGTGATATGGGATAGTAACTGTACATGTAGAATGGCTACAGAATGTTTGAGAGAAAGAATAAGATAATGTCTAGAAAGTGAAGGGAAAAAATTCTCATAAGTATACCACATTTACCTTGCTTAAGGATATCTGTTGGATGTTTATTTGAAGAAGAAATAAGCAAACACTCCTCCTAAGGCTCCGCCTACTATTGGTAATGTGATGCCTACAGCAGCCATGGCACCTGTCAATCAAATAATGTCATTATAGAACCATAAACAATCATTCTGGATGAATCCATTTAAGGGGGCCGACTGGGGTTTTCATTGCGCAATACTTCGCGCAGCATAGTAAAATAAAGCGTATTTACCCTTTTAAATCAACTATTTTTACATAATTTATAAAAATTAACAAATTTAGGAAATCTCAGGTTAAAATATCTAATTTAAGTTTTTAAATTACTGATTTTTTAAACGATTTTTCAAATGATGGGTAGATAGACCTCATAATAGTGTGTTTTTGACGTTATGAATAACCGAAGTTCTTGAAGCGGGGTCATTAATTATGCCATAAAATAAAAAGTATAAAATACATGCTCTTGAAATTTTTAACATAGGAAATTGAGAATCTAACAATCATTTTTGTTATTTTTTATGTCAATCTGTGGTATCTGTCATGTTTTGTTGTACTCCATAAAAACAGGAAAATATCATGAATTTTGACATTTTGAGATGCCCCCTCTGGAAACCAGACGGTAGAATTTTGTGTTTCTTGCAAAAAATGTACAATATAGTATTACCAATCAAATAATATAATTTGAGCAAAAAGTCTATAGTAGCATTTATATAATCTGCTCAGAAGTGCGAAAAAATGGTATTTTCCTATATAATCCTATAGTAAATGTACTTGTATTTTGAGATGGTCCCTAAAAAATAACCAGACGGTAGATTTTCACTAAACTTGGTATGTATACTGAAGTCAATGTAAGGTACATATGGTATAAAATTAAAGAGTTTCTCTATAGTAGTTTTCACACAATAAAACCCCAGTCGGCTCCCTTAAGATATTGTAAGAATGGTTATAATGAAAGGTGGAAAGTTTGGCGATTTCTCTATTTTTTTTAGCTTTGATTCTATAGAGCTTGTTTACATGACTTTATAATTACCTGGACTGTATCCTGTCTTGGCTGCTGCTGTTTGTCCTTTGTTATTTAGATAAGTTGTTTCTGTGAAAGACTGTTTAATGGGCACCATGGCAGGTATCTGTAAAATAAGGAGAGTACAAGAGATTGATTTCATTGTCGTATGGAGTGCTGGTTAATAGGTTTAAAGGAAATATTAAAATAACAGACTAATCATGCACAAAAGTCCAACTAATCAGGACAAAATTGAGAGCAAAGCAAACTCGAACCTCTGGCTCCGGGGCCATAAAACTTTGATGAGCTCACTTTTACTGAAGGAATTTAAAGAAGAAAAGTAAGACTGAGATCAAAAGTGACCTATGGCCTTGTAACCTGAAAACAGAGGTGGGATTAGGTACCATAAAGAAGTTAACATCCCCTTTCGACTGGTAAAACTCGTCTTGAGCTCCTTGTCATGATTGGATGAATGGAGAACTAGGTTTGAAAATAATAGCCCAACAATTTGTACAGAAAATGTGTCAAATCAAACAGAAAAATGACCTTTTTCAGTAATACTGCATGGTTAACTATCGTATGCAATTTGACTCTGATGTCAAAGGTAAAGGTCATTATAAGTAGGTCATGAGTAAGTTATGATGGTATTTATATTGTCTTTAAAGGGGACTAGACACAGATTTGAAGTTAATGTTTTCTCAAATTTTTCTGTAATATCATGACATATGTTGCTATAGCATTTCACATGGAAATATAATAAAAAAAACTTATTTTATCTGGATATTATTGAAACTACGAATTTCGGAATGCGTTTGATTGACACATCCTTGCACTTTCACAAAGTAAACTCTGTCCTTAATACTTAAGAAAAGTAGAATTTTGTTGTGTATTAATGAAAAATATTAAAAACTATAATCCAGGAAATTCAGAGTAGAAATATAAGAAAGCAAAACCAACTCATCAGTATTGTCAATCCGTGCTCAGTTGTGTGTGCAGAGTTTAACAAACTGAACACACCCGGTGAAACTTAAACATTAACAATAACAGAGCTCATGCCCTGTTTACAAAAACAGTTTACTTTTCACCAGGTGTGAAATGCTATAGCAACATACAAGTCATGATATCATACAGAGAATTTGAGAAAATATTAACTTCAAATCTGTGTCTAGTCCTTTAAAGTTACACCAACTTTAATTAGCATAGGTCAAAATGAATGAAACAAAAGAACACATAAAATTATTTACATCAAATTGAAATGAAAACATAATACATACATTTGGGAAGGCCGTTTTATCTAGAGCGATGGCGAACTGGGCGTTTTGGACCTTTGTCTGTAGAGTATTCGCAGCGACACTTAGTGGCGTCTCTTTGACGATGCTCTGAACATCGCCCACGACTGGAGCGACGTCCAATATTTCAAAGGAAACTATTATGTCTGTGGGACTATAATATACCTGTCAATAGAGGAAGTATAACAATTAGTTTTATAATCAATGCTCTGCTGCAGTTTCAAAATATTGTAAAACCAAATTTTATTTGCATTTCCGCGAGGTATGTTACCTTTTTCTTGCAAATGATTATTATTTGAGGATAAATATGCAATTTTTTAATTATATATGTATTTATGTAGAATATTTCCAATCATGAAAATCAGCTGTCGTGGATGGATTTTAAATTAATGAATAGTGAATAAAAAAAAGAATAGTAGTTGGTTTACAATAGTGGAAACACAATATACAAGTATGCATTATTTTTGTAAAACAATAAAAAACAGGAAGAGTGCATAAGCTGAAAAAATGTAGTATCTCAGAAATCGCCCATCGTCCTTTGTGAAAAAGAACAGTATTTTAACTCCTTATAATCTATTTAGAAATCCTGTTCTTAAACCTAGAATATCCTTTGGCAAGAACTAAAAACTTTATTAAATTATCAATATTGAACTTGCCGATAGCAGAAATACTGAAAGTACAGACTGCAATATTGTGCTTAAACTTTCACTTAGATATCCCTTTAAAAAAGCTTATGCTGTACTTACATTTAGGTTAGCTATCCTGATGGCAGATACACTAAGAGTGGAGACAAGGCTTTTGAGAATGTTATACTTGAATGTTTCCAAGTTTCCATCAACTGCTGATTTGTAATCACCTATTCAATGGGATTAGAAAATTCGTTTTTTCATTCAGCTGTGACACACTTTAAACTTGGGGTGGGATGGGGTTAATTTTTGAAGTAAATAAGACAGCTATCCATTTCATCACTTATTTTCGCTAAAATCATTTCATGTTTTAATTTTACATTATGTTCAAGCAGTCAAAACAAATAAGTCGAACACCAAAGAGCAGGGGGAAAACATGCATAATTCTCCTTGAGACTCCAAAATGTTTTCGTCAAGACATTAAACCACAATTTACCTGAAAAAGTGAGCTGGAATTTCCTTCTGTTTCTATTAACGTAACACTGACTGATGTCAAACTTCAGAACGTCCGGTGTGTGTACGTCAAAGTTAAAGATGTTATACTCATTGTGATAGGCCACCTAAATATATAGGTCAAAGTTAAAGATGTTATACTCATTGTGATAGGCCACCTAAATATATAAGTCAAAGATATAGAATCTGATGTTAAACTCATTGTGATAGGCCACCTAAATATATAAGTCAAAGATATAGATGTTAAACTCATTGTGATAGGCCACCTAAATATATAAGTCAAAGATATAGATGTTAAACTCATTGTGATAGGCCAACTAAATATATAAGTCATAGGTAAAAAATGTTACACTCATTGTGATAGGCCACCTAAATATAAAAGTATACTTATTGTGATGGGTCAGCTAACTATAAAGGTCAAAGTTTAAGACTTTTGAATTTCTTTTTTCTGTAGAATTATAGTACACAAAAATAATCTTTCAAAACTCCAATAACAATCTTTCATGAATGAAGTAGGACAAAATTTTAATTTACCATATGGTTCATCGTAAATGTACTTTAATTGTTGATTTCGGCTCAACGTACTTTCAAGAGTTCGAGACATACATTGTATTATCAAGTACGTTATTTGCTTGACAATCCTGATGTCTATTGTCTTTAATTGCTACTAATTTGCGTACATATATGACACAAAAATATACGTGTTTACAGTAAAGAATTTGAAATAACCCACAATCTAAATTTATATATGACGTAAGTATACCATGACTTACGTCGCCCGCGTGGCGCAGTGGTTAGAGCGTCTGCTCTAGAGTCGCGGAGTAAGGAGTTGATCCTTACGTCGCGGGTTCGAATCCGACTGTGGGACGTAGAGACCGGTCCTTCGGATGAGACTGTATAAACCGAGGTCCCGTGTCGCAGTAGGTGCTGGCACGAAAAAGATCCCTCACTGCTCAATGGCCGTAAGTGCCGAATATAGGACAAAATTTGCAGCTCTCCACCGGCAAGTGGTGGCGTCTCCATATGAGTGAAAAATTCTCGAGAGGGACGTTAAACAACATACATACAAACAAACAAACCATGACTTACCGAGGGGGCATCTATTACCAGTTGTATGGGGGTACCACCCTGTGCAGCGCCTGTGTTAACCTCGGCCCACTGATTCTGAATGAAGTAAGACAGCAATATTCAGAATAAGCAATATTCACTTGTTTCATAATAATAAATTCATTTTACATGTACATAAAAGGAAATAAGAATCTCAGTGCTTTCAGGTCATTGATTTTGCATCCATAGTGTATTAATATACATACGGATGCAAAGTACCACTGCCATGTGGAGTTGACCCCGGGTGACGGCCAGTTCGCCCTCACCCCAACCCAGCTGTCACAATCGATGTTACGGACCGTTTTCTGTAAGTAAAAATTTACTTATTTTTTTTTATCAGTTTGAAAGACATTAGTATAGTGTCATAATGCATGTAATGTGTAAACTTAAAAAAAAATTAATCATGAAAAGGGGGAGGCCCCCTGCAACCCCCCCCCCCCCCCAAATCTCCACTCCAGATTCTCTGTGCTTGAATGCTATGTTCATCTGAGTGGAAGTATGGAGCAAGTGAAATAAATTTCTAGAACTATTTATGTCAATTTGGAACTTCTCAATTTATTTTTTAGTCCAATATAGGAAAAATAAATCCCTATGTTCACCTGGAAGTTCAGTATTTTTTTCTGCAGTATTTTTGCATCTCAGCCAATCAGAGAGCTAGGAATTATTCAATAATATGAAAAATAAAATTTATATTGCGTAGAATACTAGAACAATTCTTTCTCCATAAGTTACTAGTGCTGCATGATGAAAGTTCTATGCACGTCACGTGACATACGTACCACGCCTTCATACGTGTACTGGATGACGTCAAAGTAGAAGAACTCCTGGGCATTCCTGATTCTGAGGTGGTTTTTGTCCACAAACCGCGTGTCGAACGTCTGTTTGATAGGCTGCACGGTGCAGTTACCGTACATCGTGTCAATGATGTAAGCCACACCTATAACATTTTGAAAAAATCATTTTGCAGGTGTGCCTTAATCGATGACCTAGCTGCCGACAGTCTTGCCTAGTGGGTGAAGAGGTACTTTGCGGTCAAAGGCAGCTGTCGCCATGTAATTTATGATGGTGTGTTAGCTGTAACCTGTGTTGCTTTGCAGTGATTTTTGTTAGTGTGTCTGATGTAACCTGTGTTGCTTTACAGTAATATTTACTAGTGTGTTATCTGTAACCAGTGTTGTTTTTGTAATGCATTTTGTTAAAGTGTGTTGGCAGTAACCTTTGTTGCTTTACAGTAATATTTGTTAGTGTGTTAACTGTAACCTGTGTTGCTTTACAGTAATTTTTGTTCAAGTGTTAGCTGTAGCCTGTGTTGCTTCACAGTAATCTTTGTTCAAGTGTGTTAGCTGTCATCTGTGTTGCTTTACAGCAATTTTTGTTAAAGTGTTAGCTGAAACCTGTGTTGTTTTACAGTAGTGTGTTAGTGTGTTTGCTGTAACCTGTGTTGCTTTACAGTAATATTAGTTTGTGTGTTAGCTGTAACCAGTGTTGCTTTACAGTAATATTAGTGTGTTAGCTGTAACCTGTGTTGTTTTACAGTAGCGTGTTAGCTGTAACCAATGTTGCTTTACATTAATATTAGTTGGTGTGTTAGTTGCAACCAGTGTTGCTTAACAGTAATATTTTTAGTGTGTTAGCTGTAACCTGTATTGTTTTATAGTAGCGTGTTAAAGTGTTAGCTGTCACCTGTGTTGAAGTCATGGATTTCTCGCAGATCGTTGACACCATAAGGACTCATGTCGGAGGGCAGTGGACGGGAATAGTACATCACCATCTTCTCAGTAAAAGAATAGTACTCCTGTGAAATACAGAGGCGGATCAAAGGTTTATCACGGTGGATAAATATAGCTAACTCAGGGTAATTATAGCCAAACTCAGCCTTCAATTGCATGTATAATCAAGAAATATCGCGTTAAAATTCTGCTGAATATATAAACAAAAATCGCTGTGTTGGATACATATATGACCTTTGGAAAAAAAATCATAGAACCTTCATGAAAGACACAATTTTCCTTGTCTTGTCGACGTATTCTGACATAAAGCTGAAGGCAGGGGGCATTGTGGGTAGGTTTTTAGTATTCTTCCGTCCTGGGCATTGAACCCCAGCTGGTGTCTGAATAAAGAGAGAACAAAACATCAAATTTATTTGTAGGAACACCTAAATGTTCTTTTTCATGCACCTTATGCATCTATATAAGGCATCTTTTCTATTTTGGTCAATTGAGTCACTCAGTTGACCTAACACTATATTTGTTCTCGCACTTCGTTGCGCTGCATGCATATAGAGTGCCCAATAAGTAGATTTGTGGTCTCTCTGGACAAAAAAGAAACTAGAATGAATTTCAAATTTTGGATATACAGTACGATTTTTTTTTTTTGAAATTATTTTAAAGATATTGAAACTTATAGAGATTTTTTTTTTTAAATTACATTTAAATGAATATGAAATAACATGTTATGTTATAACATGTTTAGGGTGTAGGGCTAGCACAATTGGGGGTCCCAACTGAATTTCATCATTTTAATAACCATTTAAAGTGCATAAAATAGCAAAGTAAAACGATACTTCACATCTTCTGAACATTTTTACTTTAAATTTCCATTTTTTATGAAGGGAAAAAAATATTTGAGCTTTTTATCATTGTCAGGGGAATTTTTTACTCATCAAAAGAGGGAAATGGGATATTCAGGGTAAATTTTCTTTTGGGGAAAATACCGAATATCGGTAGTAAATATGCCCTAGATTAATCCCTGGATTATATTTAGGAAACACCCAATTAGTCACGTGTCAGTCTATCAGAAGTTAGACCAATTCTTTTTCCTTCTATAAATTTATCCTACTTAAAAATATTATCAAGTGTGAATATTAGAGGACAGTGAGTGATTAGCATAAGTTGTACCTCAAATACTTTAGGGTCTTTCACTGTTTGTCTGTAATGGAACATTTCATACCAATGGTCGAACTTTCTACCGGTCGTCGCGCCCGGGTCATAGATAATGCCAGTGACACGTGCGGCAATCGGCACTGTCACGCCGACGGCGGTGTCCCACTCTGGATTGGCCGCTAAAAAAAGACAGGGAAAGCATTAAAGGACTTATTACATGATTTTTCAAAAATCTTAACTTAATGAAAAATAATATCTAGAACCTTGTTTATTGAAATACTGAATACGATAACCTTTGTTGAAAGCGTATTTTAAGAGATATTGAGAGTTGAAATTCAAATACAGCAATATGCATATTTCAGTCGGATTTGGGCGAAATACTTCCCTGACGTCATATGCGACAATTCAGTGATAGAGAGATGAGAAGTTGCACACTATTTACGGATTAACGACATATGCAGCTTAATTATGAAAAATGTTGAAAAAATCAATTCCTAATGTACTTTTCAATTACTATAGAAACATTAACTAGTTCAAAGGTATAAGACTTTTGAGATATTTTCGTTTTTCATTCCAATTTATTCCAAATATTTAGCATCTGTAGGTCTGATTACGGCAATGTTTCGTGATAGGAAAATATTTCTCAAGACCGCCATCCTTTACACTGTTACAAAACATATGAAGGCATACTTGCATGAATTAATATTATGTTAAAAACAAAGGATAACAAAGTTATATGATATCAAATTTGTGAATCAAATAAGTTAATACATGTGATAAGATGACAAATCAAATTGTATTGTGATGGCGAGTTTCTTCGTCTTCGCCGCGTCTCCCTCGCTATCGTCTATTTTTACAATAATAATCCGATTTTCTGATTTTTTCTTGCTGACAATTCTAAAATATATGGTCGGATATTTGAATTAATATCAATAAAATCAGTGATTTGGTCGTCCATAACGCAGGAAATTCAGGTTGTATCACGTATATTTTAGTAAGATTAACGTGAAGAGCTGATCAGCCTTGCCACCTTTGACGTCACAGGGTCACGTGATCGCTATCTAATTAATTTAGATTTTTTATTCAGGGATTTTCATTTGAGTCAATAATTGGTTAATTACCGCGGTTTATCCGCAGTAAAAACAAAATTTATTAACTGTAGTCATAGGGAACGTTTTACGCTTTTAATTTCAAATAATTTAGAAACATGCGGTAAGTCCTTTAACTACACATCGAACACACTCCTTTATAATGGAAAGTTTTTCTTGTTCATTCGGAATGGAATTCTGTTATTAAAGAATATGCATGGTCAACCTTCAGAAGATAAAATATTGATTTAATTGAATTTGTGTTATAACTTGTTCTACGTACCAGAAAAATACCAAAATACTTTCATCGTGGCGTCCATGCTCTGCCAATATTGACAGCTCTGCCACACGTCTACCGCTATCCCCCTCACGCTACTTAGTCCCATGTAAATCTCGTTAATCCCCTGACCAGACATATGGAGGGACTGAGCCGCCGAAAAGATTTTCCCGCCATTACTGGCAGTGTAACCCAGGAGGAAGCGCTGATTGGATGTGCTCAGCGGTTGCACCACACAGCCTGTAAATAAATGTATTCTTTAATGTTAGGATATTAAACATCTTGTTGAAGAAATTAAATTCAAAATCAAAAACTTATTTAAAATAATTTAATAAGAGAAAGAAACAGTTAAACTTCGTTATCTCCAACTTTGATATCTCGAATACCATAGATATGTCCAAACGAGCTCTGAGTCCTTACCACTATAATTTTCTCGATGTTTTTTAAACCTCAATATCTCAAATCTTCGGATACACAGTCCCATCAGGTTCTAGATAACGCATTTTGACTGTATATACACACACATATTCGTAATACTTTAAGCAACTGTATAGAAATGACTTCGATTTTTTATAGTATAGCAATTGCGATATGTCCTTCAAACTTTACATAATTATATGGATCGAAAATGGCTATTATTTTGAACTTATCATTTTAGAATACACCAAAGGTTTTCAAATGCCAGAATTAATTTGCATGTAGTTCTTTCATTATCAAAGATAACAATTTACAAAATATTTAAATATTACGTAAATTTTAGTGTATAAATATTTTATAAATCAACTTTTTTGTATTTAACCCCTAAAAGATTAAAGATTGAACTTAAAAACGGTATGATCTCAGATTTTTGATAAATCTTGTAATTCAAAAGTTACAGCCATTTGCACTTCAGTGTTACCAATTTATTAGCCTAATTTAACATTTCCCTCAGTAATTCCAAAACTAAGCTAGATATAAAAAATCTGAGATACAGTTTTCTGGACACACAATTGAGAAACAACCCATCCAATTTTCAGAGAAATTGGTCAATAAATAAGAGAGCTGAATCCTTTGAAATAATACCACAAACTGTCTGATCTTACTTTACAGTAGAGGGCAAAAACCCATTACACAACAAAATCTGCCAAAGCTAGGAATATATGACACCTTGGAGATTCAGCTTTGGATACCTGTCACTTAGCCATATTTCCTATGCATATTCACAAAAATGGGAGGTTCTTTTCTGTATTTAGATGCTTTTGATTAAGTAAAATAGGTTCAATTCTGAATCAGAAAGATTTTCCGGCAAGATGGCAAAAACTAAGCTCCACCTCCTATTTTATGGTCATCAGTGATCTGTTAGATCTCCTTCTCTAAATCTAGAGTCCCTGTAGTTTAATTACTGATAACCTCTGTGTGGCTAGTGAAGAATTCCCCAAGTGGTCACAGTGATTTATTGCGTCATTCATGAGCAGACAGTCACAGATCAAATCAGAAACTTCAATAACGGAACATTCACATGTGGTAGTGTTTATGTTTCATTAATGTTAAATAATTAGAAAACCATTTCATAATTACCAAGAATTTTACATGCATTATAAAGCAGTGATTAACTTCTTTTTCTTAGCCAAAAATGTCAAAATTGTTGAAAATCTTGAAAAAAGCCTTTGGTGTATCCTTAAAGACAATAAATGCTGTAGTAGAAAAAAATTTTATTGGAATAAAATTTGGTTGATTCTGGATTTAAAACAATATTTGTTTATTCAAAATGTTGGGTTTTCGTTACGATTCAAAACCTGTATGTATAGTTTTAATACCTGTTTTTATCAAATACTCTAGTCCCTTTTAATTTTGCGACTTGAGCGTAACTATACTTACTGCATACACTAACTCTTTACTAAAACCTTTAATGACGTCATAATTAATACTCACCTCCTCCGGGTACGTATGCGATGAATTCGTTAGTATTATAGCTGTACCAGGCGTCCAGCTCTATCCCCTGGGCCAGTTGCCTTACCCTCCCGGTGTTCTGGCTGTCATCAAACCACTCGTGAATATCAGTGGTCTCGTTCTTATTCATAATAATACACTGAATGTGTGCAGAGAAAGCGTTTGTCACATTCGGGCGGGGTCTGTTGGTAACTTTAAAAAAAAAGAAAGAAAGTGACAGGCACTCTAACAAATTTTATTCTTAAGAAGTGCATGACCGTTTGCTAGAAGAGACTTCTAAAATTTATTCATTACTATGGTGGGTATTGACTGCTACATTTGTTAATATGGTGGATATTAATGACCCGGAAGTAAATATCTTGATGGGTGTTGAATGACACAGAGGTTAATATTTTGTATGATTATTGATACATTTGTTTTATTAAAGTTACAGCGGTAAACAAAGTAAATAAATAATTAATGTTACGGTGGTTAACATGGTGGATAATTAATGTTGCATTGGTTAACATGGTGTATAATTAATGTTACAGTGGTTTACGCGGTAGATAATTAATGTTACAGCGGTTAACATGGTGGATAATTAATGTTACAGTGGTTAACATGGTGGATAATTAAGGTTACAGTGGATAACATGGTAGATTATTAATGTTACAGTGGTTAACATGGTGGATAATTAATGTTACAGTGGTAAACATGGTGGATAATTAATGTTACAGTGGTTAACATGGTGGATAATTAAGGTTACAGTGGTTAATATGGTAGATAATTATGTTACAGGGTTAACATGGTTGATAATAAATGTTACAGTGGTTAACACGGTAGATAATTAATGTTACAGTGGTTAACATGGTGGATAATTAATGTTACGGTAGTTTACATGGTGGATGATAAATGTTACAGTGATTAACACGGTCGATAATTAATGTTACAGTGGTTACCATGGTGGATAATTAATGTTACAGTGGTTAACATGGTGGATAATTAATGTTATAGTGGTTAACATGCTGGATATTAATGTTACGGTGGTTATCATGGTAGATAATTAATGTTACAGTGGTTAACATGGTGGATAATTAATGTTGTAATCACTGCATGTGGTTAACATGTTGGTGATTAATGAAACAATGGTTTTAATCGTTGATGATAAAGTGGTTTAAATAGTAGATGATAACAATATGATTTTATAACTGATCATCAACTAATGTTGCATCATATCAGTAGCGGATGTCATATCAGTAGTGGATGTCATATCAGTAGCGGATGTCATATCAGCAGTGTTTACCACAGATTATTACAACACTGAGTATATTAGCAGCAGATCTGTAGCTCTCTGGACGACCAATCTTTTTTTTCCAGACCACCTGCTACGGATCTGCAGCTATGGGTATAATAACAAAATATGACGGAGAGCAATGAGTATATATGACGACATATAAACTTTAATCGTAATTTAATTTTCCACCGTTCCAGATTTTTGCATTTTGCTTTACCTGAAGATACAGGATCTCCGCTACATATTGATGGGTCCTTCCCGTGGACCGATAAAACTGTTGTTATGGATACCAAGTGTATTAATACTCGAAACATATTTAATCTGGAATAGTATAATGAGAAAAAATATTTAATGATATAATAATTGAACTTTACTAATCTTAGCAGCAATATTTATCAGCTATTGACGCAAAAACACATTAATTTATCAACTTCTTATAGGTAGGTTTTTCTCTTCACTGTTGTTTGATCAATTTTACTCACTTATATTTATGAATATATAGGTATCAAATGAATTGATAAAGTACAACGCTGTGCTCATTCGAGTCATCTTTTAGATGCAATATTACAGTTTGAGCTATCTGAATTCCATTGTTTTGTAATTATTTCATATATGTATTTGTTTTTAATGTTAATTATACACTTACCTTATATAATAAATTAATAATGTCCGCCCCTCCTATGACACCTATAACGAGATATCGCGCGAGTCCAACATAGTGTACCCTGGTATATCGTGGATGATTGTGACTGATAGCAAAGATAACGGGGAGCGGATCTAATAGATAGTACTGGGGTTTCTAACACGTTATCAGAAGGAAATTTTATATGTATTTAATTGTTTATATAACACTTGAATTGATGAACTAGAAGTAGAAATTAAAAATAGAAGTATTTAAAGAGAGAGAGAGGGAGAGAGAGAGAGAGGGGGGACTTTCAGTCTATATCATGCATTACTAAGCTACTAAGTATGCGTTCATTATACACTACGTTAATCTCAACAAAGTCGGGGGGGGGGGGGGTGAATAGGAGCTTGCTTTCTCATCTTCCGACCTGAATCGAAAATCCGATTTTACATTACAAACTGTACATGTCAGTATGTGTTTATGAACTCCAACTTAACCATGCAATTATGCATCTTCTTCAATCCTAAAAAAGAATTCCAAAATTCAAATCTGCAGAGTTTTTTCTCTTCTCGGAATCCCACTCCCCCTCCCTTTCTATATATGCTACTCATGCAGAACTCACGCTGAGAGCATGGTGTTGTTATAACACTCTGTATGGGATATTGACATCTGAGTATCGACGTATGACAGATAACAGCAAACTTAATTTCTCGTAAATGTAATATATATTCTACACACATATTATAGTAAATTTTCATACTTATAAAGCATCCCAAAAGATACTACATGTAAAGCTTATAAAGAACTCGTTTACAAAATCTCGGTTACAAGGAACTTTTTACCAATCCCATCCCACAACTTGTGGTGAACGAAGTATGTTTCAGTAATCCGGGCGTCTCGTTAATCCGGGTCTTTCGTTAATTAGGACGATTTGCTTGGGAACACAAATTTCCGGATTAAAGAGGCTCCACTGTATATATATTAATTATTAGGAGTAATTAATCAATAGAGGAAAGTTCTAATAGATGAAGTTGACCATGAATTACTAGTACAAGTGTATTTGGATTTAGGGAGCAATTTTTGACATTCTGGGTAACTCTTCAGGATAATCCTATGTTCGATCGTGAGAGACTGAGTTGTCAAATAGTCAAATTGACAGAAGGAACATGCGTTTGTAACAAACAATATCCAGCTGGCGACGAAACACATTTGTCTGAACACTGAAATGTCGTCTGTTATTTTCCGATTATGACAAGGAGCTCACGGCGGGTGTGACCGGTCGGCAAGGGATGCTCACTCCTCCATGACACCTGATCCCACCTCTGTTGCTTTAGAGGTCCGTGTTTGCTCTGCTCCTGATTTATATTGCTTAATGGACTTTTGAGCTTGAATACTGTTCGTTAAATCCATATATTTCATTACATCATAATTTATTAGTGGTGGATCTAATGACTGCGTGTTCTCTGTTTTCAAAGCACCCTGAGCGCTTATTAGGGCGATACGGCATACATTTTATTAACCTAGGCGAAGGACCTTTCCTCTTGACCAAATATGTACATAGATCTAAACCAGCAAATACACAAGGATAAAGGATTAAAACCAGGGTGTAATTTGTAGACTAAATACCAGACATCCTGGAGTTTCATTGACCTTCTGAAAAGAAAGAGAACTTACGGGAATTACTGACATTTTCTTAATAAGCGGCTATTTTGCACCGCTAAGTAAGCTGAAATGAAATATGAAGATAACAAATAGTAATCAAGCTCAAAAGTCTAATGAGACAATATAAATTGGGAGCAGTGCAAACACGGAATCTCTAAAAACATCAGAGGCGGGAACCGTGGGATCAGGTGCCATGGAGGAGTAAGCATCTCCTGTCGACCGGTCACACCCGCCGTGTGCTCATTGTCATGATCCAAACACAATCCAGTGTTTAAATAATGGCCTAACAATTAGTATGAAAAACGTCAGTCAGCATATAACTTAATAACAGATTGTATTTGCTGACAAAGCCATTGTATCGACCATAAAACTTACGAAATGATGATTTAAACGAGACTGTTCAATAAATCAGAGGGATGATTAACCTAATAAGTTACATGTATATGCCTTCAGTTTTTTTTCGAGAAATGCATAAACAATGCAAAATGGTTCTCTTGATAAAATACATTAAATTTATTGTAGTCAGAATTGCAATATTACTCTAGCAATAAGAAAGACTTCAACTTCTGACAAATATAAACATGATAATTGTAACTTTGTAATTACTGTAACAGGAAAAAATATACAATGTAACTATTCATATATATCACGTCGTCTATACATGTATAATAACAGGCATCTAATCAAGCATGCTACAGGTCATCTCAAATGACACTTCCACAAGACGCCTACAGTCTCCTCTAAAAGTTTTGCTACTGTATAATAAATTAAGATACAAATATTTGTTTTCAAACAATACATCTTCAAAAATTCTTGACTTTAGCCATCAAAAACATTAAATAACAGTTATTTGAAAAATCTACATACCAAAATATATGCTTACCAAGAAAAATACACAAAATGTAATGTGATTTTTTCATTGGATAATATATTAACTAATGTAAAATGTCTGAGAGAATTTGCATATACCATTTGTTAAAATATTTTACAATAATATGTCCAAAGTAGCTCTCATTTTCAAATCTGGATCACCCCTAACAAGTAAATAAGGTGTTAAAAATCATTATTTGACAAAGAGGCATTTTTTGGCATTTTGTGTACACATGTGAAATTATTTTTAAATTTATGAAATTGACAAAGTTGCCCAAAGCTGGATATAGAGAAAAATCTAGGTTACAAAACATGAGGTCAATCACATAATATTTCATGAAGCTTTGCAGGGTGAGAGATTACAATAAATTCAATCAGTGTAAAAAATTGAAACTTCTTTGACGGAAAAATATGAGCTTGGCAAGAACCAGTTAATTTGCTTATACAGTCAAACCCCTTTATCTCCAACTCGATGGGACAGAGAAAAAACTTTGAGTTCAACTGTAGCATATTGTGTCAAGTATGTCACAGGGGAAAATACTGAATGAAAAAATCTTATACATATGGCTTTCTAAACATTTAACTAAACAATTTTAGGAATTTCTTCAGTGGCTTTCTTTGGCTTCATCAGAATTACCAATGATTCTTAATTTTGAGAAGAGGATTAACTGGGGGGAGGAGGTTATGGATATTGTGACTAGTATTCACAGTTTGCTGAAAAGAAAAAAATGAATTGGAATTCAAACTTCCATCTATGGACACTTAAAGAACATGCATGATTATTTAATTAACAATCTACCAGTATAATTTTAACTAAGCCAGTAATCAATCAATGACTAAATTACCCCCCCCCCCCCTTAAATTAAACAATGGATTTACAAGTGATTATTTATACATTACATATTTCCCTGTGCAGTCATTGTTATCACTTTCCAAATTCATTTAATAAATGTATCATATATTTCACTTTGGACAATATCAACATTTTAATATTGTATACAAGGCAATTTTCGTCCCTGTTTTATTTTCATCCCTATCGCCCTTCTCACAAGAGGGCAAATTTAAAACGGGGCGAATTCAAAGAAAACAGTACTGTAGTATCTCTCTAGTAAAACTGTGTTTAGGTGAATTTAAAACTGGGCAAATTACTTTCAAGCATGCAAGGGCAAAAATAGCCCTGTATACAGTACAAGTTTGGATTTCAGGTTTGCTATACATAGCATATTTCCTTAATATCAATAACACTGCTTGGTATATTTCCCTACTTTTAACAACACTGCTTGGTTCTTTTAGCAAAGATATTTATACATGTTTGGAACAATTTGCAAAACAACTAAATATGTATATAACTGTATACTGTCTTGCTCTGGAACAATTAAGATTTATAACATATATATGTAGAAAATTGTGCATCCTATAACACTTAATCTCATTAACCAATCAAAATCATTGATACAAATGTATAGGATACAATCAACCAATGAAAACTGTTAATGGCATTATTTCAAATGATCTATTGTATGTATGACGATATCATTGTGTAGTTATCTGTCTGTAAATCCATTGATAAAAATTTCATAAAGACATGAGTCCCTGACTAGATATGATGTTATAACTTGTATACAAGAGCAGGAAAAAAATAAACAAAATAAAGTTGAAACTTGCGCCTGTAATGTGTATCATTACGAAAATGAAAGAGGTGTTTAACCTTTAACCTTTGATTCCTTCATATGACTTGGAGCCCTTTATGTTCTTAAAGCTCAGATGAGGTTAAAATTGTGATATAACATACCCCTTCCCCCATCTTCAAACTCTGGACAAAAAATAATGATTCTGATATTTTCAAAATGATATTGAGAATTAAAATCTATTCCATTATCTGATGAGTATCCTTATATTATGATAATGGTTGTAAAATCTCCATCGAAATTCTATACTCTTAGCAATTCTGCATAAATCATATACTGTAAACCAACTTTTATTTGCGTGCGAGAAATATTCGTGAGTTTCGCGACCTACTTTAACTGGCGAATATTTATTGCCGCGAGCCATTTATTTTGCTTTGTATTTGTAGAGAATGTTTCCTCAGTTGCGAAAATTAATCGTCACGGACTGATTTCAAACCGACGAATCGCGAATAAAAGTTGACGCGAATAATAGTTGGTTTACAGTAACTACATGTTTCAGAAGCACTTTCAGGACAATCCATTTGATAGCAGAATAATAGGGAAGCACAAGCTGATATAACAATTTGAATATTATCATTGAGCAACTGCCCTTCGTGGAAAGTATGATAACATTATCACTGATTATACTGTCAGTCATGAATTTAAAGGAAGATACTAACTCTGATAAAAGTTATTTTACAGTCAAAAATACACTTCTTAAAATAATTATATTCATTAACCAGTACGTTGAAATGTCATAGGCATATCTACAATATATAAATATATGTAAACTTCTTAACTGTTAAATAAATCATTGTATAGTTTAAATTACCCAAATCATTGAAGACTAGATTTCACAATAAAAAATCAACTTAAAAGAAGTCTCCAAATTTAAACTTTGATTTATGGCAATAATTTTATAAGACATAAATATAGTGAGACATTACTGTAAAGAAGCTATTTAAGCCAAAATTTGGCTTCTTAATGTTGTACACTGAAAATATTCCACTTTCACATTTATTTGTTCAACACAGAATGAATTCCTAATTTGATCACACAGACCTTTATATTGTGGAATGATTTTAAATTAGTCGGGGCAAATTTTCATGGATTGCTTAAATAATCAGCTTTGTAGGAACCTAGCTTCATAAATGAATGTCATGTTATAAGACATTAATGATCAACTATATTTCAATATTTCTTAGGTTTTTTTTATGTTATCCATGAAATCCACAAAAATTAGACCCCACCAAAATATTCCCAAGTCTAACTGCCAGAAATTCTTCTAACTATCAAATTATGCAATGACAAAGATTTAGGGCCAAAAGTGAAAAACTCGGAAAAATATCCTTTAAGTTCATTGTCAGACAAGCTCCAGATCTTATAAATACATGTATACTGTGACAAAAACTAAGAAAAGCACCTCTTATGGAATCTTTATAATTACACATCTGTATATCATTACATAGAAAAAGTACAGTATAACGCGTAATAAAATAGAAAAATGTAACACCAGCTCATACTCACTGACAACAATATATTAACAAGTCTATTTTGTTTTCCCCTATACATTCTAATTCAGATATTACATTCATTTGGCAATATGTATACCAATAAAAGAAAAATTTTGGCAATCTTATCCAAACTATCTCATCCCAAAGAATATTGTCAGAAAATGATAGGGATAATCATAATGAACATCATGTCTTTACAAACACAAGGGAAATAATTTAAACCCAATGCTAACCAATGGAAGGCATCCTTTCAAATAAATCACTGTTTTCATCCAATAGAAAACTTTCTTGCAACACATTTCCAACCAATGAAAATCATTCTTTCTGTTTGAATTACGTCAGTTTTTCTTTGCACCATACAAGAATGTTTAACCATACATTGCATCACTTCCTTTGGCCTTACATATCCACATTCTCTTTTATGATGAGATCACAGATGAACTATATACAGGAAAATGAAAAGCCTGACTGTTTAACATCTGAAAATATAAACAAGAAAAACTGCATTTTATCACAGCCTATGGAAATTTCTTTTGTTTCTCTGTACAATAATAAACAGTTACAGTATTAAATGAATCCAATTTACCTTAAGCCTGAGGTGACATTACCAAAGAAACTTAACTTTATACACTTATAAATTTAAATTTACATGTATCTACAATGGCTTACTTTAAAAATGGTTATCATGGGTCCAGTGGGCTCGCTTAATCAAAATAATTGGTCCAAAGTGAAAATCAGTGAGTCCAAATTTTGTTTCACTTAGAACATATATGTTTAACAATTTTCAATTAAAACTAGGAAAACTCTTTCTTCAAATAGATTGTCTCCCCTCCTCCTTATTCTAAAGAACAATTTTTTCATTAGTTCTCATTTTTCATGACTTTTCTCCCTAGCCAGGAAAACGTTGTAAGCCATTTGTTTTTCAAGTCATGATCATCTTAATTTTCTCAGTTTTCATATTGTCTTATTCAGGTAATCATATTCTTTGAATCAACTGGATCAGTTTTCATCTTGCCCTCTTTATTTCTTATATATGATGTCACTGATGCCCTACCATTTCAAATCATATTTATTCACCCTTCTTTGGGAATATGATTTTTGAATTCTTTAATCTGCTATCCTGATGTCCAACATCATTCTATCTCCCACTAATCACTAATGTCTTGCATGATTGTACCTTATTGGTTAATGCACTATGAGTCAACTAATGATATTTCTACATTATTTATTGCATTTTGTGACTTGGAATGTCCCAGGTGTTTAGAACTGAATGTTCTAGATGTTTACAGAAATTAGACCACTGATTTTCCTTCCTGTTACATACCTATGTATTTCTCCTTGCTGGGAGGTCTATAACATTTAGATGTTCATTAACGGGTGATACATGATCATATCCACCCTTGGAACTCATCTGGTTTTGCATGGAAGCAAGCTGAAGTAAAATGAAGAAAGTCTTCAATATTCTATGATTAGTGTTGCACTTGTCTTATGTTTTCTTTCTCTCTCCACTGTCAGACTTTCTCTCTCTCCACTTTCAGACTTTCCCTCTCTCTCCACTTACACTACTGTTTTCTCTCTCCACTTTCAGACTCTCTCTCCACTTACACAGACGTGTTTGGAGGCCACTTCCCCTGACCCTATATGGCCTGGGTGTCTGAAGTCTCTCTCTCTTTCTCCACTTACACAGATGTTTTGTTTGAAGGTCACTTCCCCTGACCCTATATGGCCTGTGTATCTGAAGTATGTTGGATTTCCTATCATCTCTCCCCCCATCTCTCTCTCCTACTTACACAGACGTTTTGTTTAGAGGCCACCTCCCCTGACCCTATATGGCCTGTGTGTCTGAAGTCTGTTGGATTTCCTATCATGGTGGCATCAATTCTTCGTCGCCTCTTCTTGGAAAGAAAAGAAACAAAATTGCAATAGTTTGGTGAAAAAAAGAGGGAAAAAAATCAAGAAGCAGGCAAGAAGAAAAGTGGATATTTAAAATCCTGAAATGTGCCTATTATTAGGCACTTGCAATTGAAAAATGAAATATAAATTAAAAATTCGGGATCCACCTTCACTTTAAAAAAAAAAATCCTCACCGTGGGCTGAGGTTGTTCTGCAATACAGCAAGTCATCAAAGAAAACAATCCATCCCCCATATTGTATTGGCTGGGATCTAAAGACTAAGGACTCTGATGTCAACTGCTACACTTTCTGTAGATTCTCTCCCTTTCTACTGATAATGAATGACACTGGGATGTTCCACTTGGACCTTAATTCTTAGTTGGCAAACTTTTACAAAAATTTTCAAATGGAAATGTGAACAGCATTATGGGAATGTTACCATGGTGATGAGATCACTCTGAGATTAAAGTTTAGCTTCCATTTTGTTCTGAATGGACCTGTAAAATAAATAAAAATATCTTATGCTTTAATCAGTATTAAAATTAAACACACGTGACATTTACATACCTACATACCTAAGGCAGAGATCATTTTCCACTCCTACCCCCCCACAACTTCCTTATAAACTTTGTATCCTATCACTCATTAGTACATCTAGTAACCAATTTTTTTTAATACGGTATACACACTTATTGACTAAGTATTTTAGTGCTTTCCACACATCTCACTTCTAAGTAGACAGTACCTATGTTGCCCAAATTTTGGATGACTGTCGAACACTGCATATCCTTGAGTGTAACAACTGCACAAACATACATGTATACTGACCTCTTACAGTAGACCAGTTATAACTGGAAATGAGTTAGGATGAACAGTGAAGCTGTTGTCAAGTTGTTTTATCAATAAACACATTACAGTGAAAAATTACAAAATTTCTAATATTTTTAGTCAAACTGTATTAAAAAATTATACAAACAAAAAAAAAAGATCAACAAATATATATTTCATCATAGTTGAAAAAAAGGTATCCAGGCAAGGTTCATGTTTATTATGAAAATTAAATTCATATTTTGTATTTTAGTCCCTCAAAAGACCAACTTTTTTTTCACTTTATGAAATAACGTCCTTTCTTTCAAACAGATCACATCTCACTTAGATATTTATAATTTATTCCAAATAACATTGGTATACATTACATGTTCCTGCATAAAAGGGAAGTTTTAAGAATTTGACTTGTCATTTTATTTTACTTTCTATGCATGGAGCCAATCATAAGACCTTTCAAAAATATTAAATTTACATGATTTTCATGAGTTGAAAACATCATATCAAGAAGCAGGAAAGTAAAATTTGATACACTTGACACTTAAGTTCAATCTACATTTTATGACTAAATTAATCAAAATGATTTTTACAAAAATATCCAGAGTTATTGTTCCTTGCTGAGGTATGGACAACATTAAATGCAGAGATAACATATTACCTCAGAAATAAAATAATGAGCTTTGTTTTAATCTCCAATTTAATTGAAATCATGTAAAGTGCATTTTTTTTTAATTTTTTTTAATTTTTACTATACACATGCAAAAAGCCTACTACATGTAGGTTTTGGGGGGGGGGGGGGGATCAATCATTGCATAGATATGCTAGTGTCATAATACGTATCATTTACAAATAGGCAAAGAAAATAATGCATACAAAATCAGCTAACATATATATATATATATATATATATATATATATATATATATATATATATATATATATATATATATATATATATATATGTATGTATGTATATATATATATATACATATATATATATATATATATATATATATATATATATATATATATATATATATATATATATATATATAAGCCAACCAGGAAACAAAATTTATATGAAAATTGAAAATAGGAAATTATATGTCAATCCTGCCTATATATCTTTATGGTAATTTCAAATTAATACAATAAAGTTACAAAGTATCAAAGAGTGAATTTCAAATTTTAATATTGCTTCTGCATAGTTTGAAAGCACCTGCAAATTCTTTGGAAGCTTTGAAATAAAAAAAAAAGGCTAAATAGCATAAGAGTTTTCATAGTAAAAACTTTATAACGAAACTACTAGCTTTTTCTCAAAACAGCCTGATCCTCCACACAGATAAAATATATTCTGCCATATGTTATGCTGTGGGACGCAGGGGGAATTTTTTTTAATTTTACAGTGATTTCTGACAGATAACACAATATACAGATCATAGACTCTCCTACAAATTTCATTCATCTAGCAAAATTGGAATTTTTCCTTTGTAGTTTATATATCATGTACTAAGTATGTTCTTTTTAATAACTGATTGTAAAAATTAAGTCAGACAGTCATGGTTTTTTTATATAACTATCTACATTGTAATATCCTTATAATCTGATTTTCTTTTTCATGACATGCAATGTAATTTTCAATTTGATATTTTACTCTTTTTTTAGACTTTGAAGCAATTGTTTGTTAATTAATAAAGGGAAAATGAAAATAAAATCATTTTAAATAATTTTTCAGATATTGAAACATGTGCATCAACATGATCAATATTTACATTTAATATCCTGTACTTAACACTTAGATGTGAATCCATCTGTTTAACACGATGGAAGGCAAAGTAGGTACAAACCATAGTTAGGGCAGCTACATGTTCATTATGATCAACATCATCAAGTTTTATGTATGTCAGTAAAATTGCATGTTTAAATGTCAATGTATGTATATAAGTACAATATTTATTTGGGGTCAAAATCAAATACAAAAACAGTTTGCAACTCATCATACAATTATATCCAATGCACACATTTCCACATACCATTGTTCCAAGCTTTAAATAACATATTTTTTCCCATCATTTTTTCTGAAACAATTAAGTGAAAGTATAGGATTTTTCTTTTTAATATGCTTAAATAAATAAGTACTCCAATAGAAATCTTATTTGTTGGGCATTTCAGACTAGAAATTACATGTTAGACCATGCAGACTAACAATTTTTTACTATGCTTATAAGTACTCCAATAGAATTCTTATCTGTTGAGCAATTCAGACTAGAAATAACAGACCATGTAAACTAACAATAAACATTTCTTACATTTAACATTGGTAACATCCTTCCCGATCTCATTCTGTACACACATGGACACCAGCTCAAACACACAATGTACAATACTAACACTTAAGACTTCCCCTATATGACTAACATTTCCTGGTATAAACTTGGATTACAATAACACTTGGACAGTTTACCAAGTTCATAGATTTTATGAGAACACATTTCCAGGGATACTCTGAAAAATCCATAAATAGATATTTTTAGTCCCCTACCGGTGAAACCGGAGGGGACTATAGGTTTCCTCTGAGTCTGTCCGTCCGTCTGTCTGTCTGTCTGTCCGTCTGTCTGTCCCTCTGTCTGTCTGTCAGTCTGTCCCACTTGGTTTTCCGCACTTTTTTCCTAAACGCTTGCAGATATTGAGCTGATTTTTGGTATGTGAGTGTATCTTGATGAGTTACAGATCAAGTTTGCATTTTGTTCCGCTTCATTGATTTTTGACGGAATTACGGCCTTTTCAATTTTTACGGGTTTTCCGCAATTTTCTTCTAAACGCTTGTAGATATTGAGCTGATTTTTGGTATGTGGCTTTACCTTGATTAGTTACAGATCAAGTTTGCATTTCGTCCCGCTTCATTAATTTTTGACGGAATTATGGCATTTTCAATTCTTAACGGGAACCAGATTACACTTGCCGGTAGGGGACTAGTATTGCTAATGCAATACTCTCAGAATGCTTGTTATGATTGGTTACCTGAGTCATCTGTAAAAAAACAAGGATTCTGAGAGTATTGCATTAGCAATACTAGTCCCCTACCGGCAAGTGTAATCTGGTTCCCGTTAAAAATTGAAAAGGCCATAATTCCGTCAAAAATCAATGAAGCGGGACGAAATGCAAACTTGGTCTATAACTAATCAAGGTAAAGTCACATACCAAAAATCAGCTCAATATCTGAAAGCGTTTAGAAGAAAATTGTGGAAAACCCTTAAAAATTGAAAAGGCCATAATTCCGTCAAAAATCAATGAAGCGGAACAAAATGCAAACTTGATCTGTAACTCATCAAGATACACTTACATACCAAAATTCAGCTCAATATCTGCAAGCGTGTAGAAGAAAAGTGCGGAAAACTAAGTGGGACAGACTGACAGACAGACAGAGGGACAGACAGACAGACGGACGGACAGACTCAGAGGAAACCTATAGTCCCCTCCGGTTTCACCAGTAGGGGACTGAAAAAAATCCTGATTATATTGTTACTTAATGTTATTATTAATACACCTTGTATTAGGACAGAAAATTGTAAAATTATAAAAGTAGAATAATGTCAATTAAATTTTTTAATAAATAAATACTTTAAAATAATATGTATATCCTTCAGTTAGCGCTGATCTGGTTTTATATGTATAATAGGTCCTCAGAGATAATTTAAGTGCTAAGCCCTTTTCATGACAGAATAATCTAGATTAAGGGCATCAGGACTTAGCACTCTCATGTTACTGCATCAGTCATCAATACCTGGGGATAATCTAGTGCTAGAGCATCTGCCATCATTACAAGAAGACAGTCTAGTGCTAGGGCATCTGCCATCATTACAAGGAGATAGTCTAGTGCTAGGGCATCTGCCATCATTACAAGGAGACAGTCTAGTGCTAGGGCATCTGCCATGGGTACCAGGAGGAAGTTTAGTGCTAGGGCTTAATTGACCCCTTTTTGGTACAGGGTCCTGTACCCTTTCAATTGGGAATTTAAAATTGACATATTTTTTTTAGTGAACAATAGAGACAGAATGTAGGCTTCTCCTCCATGCATATCTTTATATAAGCTCAAAATATTCAAGATCATTGATAAAATTACTGAAAAATTCAAACTGCTTGTCAGTTGGAAATTTTTATCTTAATTTTGGGAAAAAAGAGTCAATTGGGACAGGGTCCTTTTACCAGACCTGCATGCAAAGGATATTAATTAAGCCCTGATGCTTGGACACCTGCAATCAATACAAGGAGGTAGTCTACTGCTAGGACACCTGTCATCAATACAAAGAGGTAGTCTAATGCTAGGACACCTGCCAACAATACAAGGAGGTAGTCTAATGCTAGGACACCTGCCATCAATACAAGGAGGTAGTCTAACGCTAGGACACCTGCCATCAATACAAGGAGGTAGTCTAACACTAGGACACCTGCCATCAATACAAGGAGGTAGTCTAATGCTAGGGCATCTGTCATCAATACAAGGAGGTAGTCTACTGCTAGGGCATCTGTCATCAATACAAGGAGGTAGTCTACTGCTAGGGCATCTGTCATCAATACAACAGGTAGTCTACTGCTAGGGCATCTGTCATCAATACAAGAGGTAGTCTAATGCTAGGGCACCTGCCATCAAAAAAGGAGGTAGTCTAATGCT